TAGAATAACATTCAAACAAGAAAAGACAGACATAAATATTATACATGTCTGTTAAATTATTGACAATCGTGTCATCTCTTGTTTTCTCTGTAGACTAATGATTACAGTCAGGAATTCATGATAATAAAGCTTTATAATATGTATGCAATAATATTATATCATAGTCTATGTTTGCTAGATAGATCTATAAAATTCGGATGTGGGTGAGCGTGTGAGTTTGAGTATTAGTATTATTCTCATTCCACACCCCAACGTCATTTTCTGATGTATTTATTTGATTATTTGTCAAATATCCTATCATTTATTTTCAAATGAATTTATTGAAAAAATAAAGTTAAAATAAGAAGCAAAAAGGCTTAGAAGTGAAGTGTTATTTTATGCTATTGATGATCATATCTGATACTTATTATATACAGATAAAAGGATAGCAATGTCTATATTCTTGAAGATAATATTGTTTTTTTTTCTACTATTTATGTGAGATTAACAAGATATATAAAATAATTTCGCACAATACCTCGTTTTTTTTTTATTTTACAATTTTCCATCGAACATAGTATGGATCAGAATCAGGTGTACAGTGGGTGTGTCACTGGGAATATTGAAGCGCGCAAATGGTGGCATCGACGTTGGGTAAAAATCATCGGCATCTCTCTTGCCCTTTTAACAATTTTTGCGGGTACGCTCACTCTTTTGTTAAAATTTGTTATTCTTGCACCAAAGCAGTTAGAAACTTCAACTGCATTACCAAGGACAAGAACATTATCAACACCGCCGTCGCCAATAACAGCAGTATCAACACTGCTATCATCAGCATCACGACAAACGATAAAAAGTACCACAACCACTGTACAGCAGCCACGTAAATGTTAAAGTAATGACTTTTAGTATCTCCTACACGCTATTTTTTAAATCAAATATATTAAGTTGTTTGAGATCCCATGTTATTTCATTTCTAACTATATGTTAAATTTAAACAATCAGTAATCTTGTCATAAGTCATTTCCATCTTATTCATAGAGCAGAAAAATAAAGTAATCGATGTGTCCAAGCGTGATAGAATCACGTTTTCGCATGACTATTGCTCCACTATAAACAATCACTCCAGACCAATTTTGCACACATGTATGTTTTCGATCGTATGTCTTAATAATCTAAGCATTCGTAGGAAAATTTTATATTTCTAATATGATCAAAAAAACGAAATAAATAAATCGTCTACTATTTACAACATTCGTAAGATCAAAAAAATTTGATGATAATTGATATAATATTTTCAGTCATTCGAATCAAAATGTCTATCAGATGAAATGATTTTTAAAGGAGAAAATTTTCTTTTTTTTCATTTTCACATCCGCATTTCTTTGATTGTAGTTAATACCAATTCTAAATAGAAACAAAACGGTATTACTGTTGCTGGAGGAAACAGAGCAAGACGTCAGCTAAATCAACTCTCTGATCCTGAAGGAATTTATATAGATGATGATAGCAAAAGAATATATATTGCTGATTGGGGTAATCATCGTATTGTTGAATGGGAATATGGTGCAAACAATGGTGAAGTTGTTACCGGTAGTATTGCTAATGGAAATCAAATCAATCAATTTAATCTACCAACAGGTGTAACTCTTGACAAAAACAATCATTCGCTCATTGTTTGTGATTATAACAATAGACGAGTAGTACGATGGTTCTATCGAACTACTACAAGCCCACAAATTATCATCTCTAACATTGACTGTTTTGATGTAAAACTGGATAAGAATGGAGATCTTTATGTTTCTGATGTAAACAAATGTGATGTAAAACGATGGACAGCAAAAGACTCAAATGAAACGATCGTAGCAGGTGGTAGATGTGGAAATAATTTAAAGCAATTGATGTATCTCAATTTTATTTTTATTGATCAAGAATATTCAGTTTATGTCGCAGATCGAGATAACAATCGTGTAATGAAATGGGTTAGAGGTGCACAAGAAGGTATCGTTGTTGCTGGAGGACATGGTCAAGGCAGCAGTGTCAATCAGTTGTCTCACCCTCATGGAGTGATTGTTGATCAATTTGATAATGTTTATGTGGCTGATCATAAAAATCATCGAATAATGCGTTGGTGAGTAGATGCAAACGGACTAGGAGCAAAAGCAGATCAGTTATATGATCCTACAGGTTTATCATTCGATCGAGAAGGTAATCTTTATGTTGTCGATTATCACAACCATCGAGTACAAAAATTTGATCTTATTATTGAGTGAACTTATTGTTTGAATAGAATATTTTTGAATAAAAACTCTTTGTCTGCCAGCATGTTTTCTTTTTTAATTTATGATGAAGAATCAAATAAACATTAATCGAATTACTACAGGTATATATGTATTGAGGGTGTGGGTGTTGTTTGAGTATTCTATTCATCTGCTACTTTTATTAAAAGTCAAATCCACACACCACATTCACACCATTAAGATGTCAAATATCATCACAATACTTTATTCAGTAGTTTTTACTTTCTTCTTCCAAAGTTCAAAATATATAATATTTTTCAGCGCTAAAAAAATGATGTAGGTCGATGTGGAATGTGGATAGCACAGTTAGTGCGAAACTTCATCTTGATCATGAGGGTAAACATTCATCTTTATTTATTATAGTAAAACAAGGATAGACAATCATACTACAATGTTTTTGTAGATGGATTAGTAGTAGAAAAAAGGTTGAAAAACACACATATTCACGTTATCTTGTTTAATTCATCGATTAATAATTTGTTCATAGTCATATATATTGCATAGAAATCCTTATCAGTTCGAAGACCTTCTAATACTCTCCGCTCACATGACATCACCGATCCGAAAGACGAATTGGTCATAAAGACACTGCAAAAAATCATAAAATCGTGGTCTTTATTTTGATCCTCTTCTTCAATACAGAAACGCTCAACTTGGTTTTCCAGAAACGTCATAATAGTTTTGACCCGAGGATTCTCACCAAGTTTGCCCCACATTACAATTTTTTTGAATATTTGTGAACGTTGTTTCTCTGTTTGAAAATTTGACAGGAATTCGAGAAAATTTAAACCAGCTGGGCACGTACTTAGTATCGTTGAGTTACTTAAACATTCATTGAGTGAGTTGGGTGCTTCTTGATTTTCTGATGGGACTTGCGTAGAATTACTACAACATTGCTTTGTGATGTTGCACACATAACCAAGTATTTTGCGAGTAGTAGGAGGAATTTTTTTTTGCCATCGGTCGGAGAGATCGGCTAGTTGACGAAGATCTTTTTCGATCTTATTCGGTGTAATTCTCTTGACCGAACATTTTTGAGCTATCGTATTGGTTTGAAGACAAAAAAGTACTGATAAAAGTAAGAAAAAAACCGGACGCATGTTTCTTCGATAGAGAAAAGACAGTATATGCTTTAGATTATCTTATGTACTTCTTTACTTTCTGGATATTAGTAGAATAAAATAGTCAAGTGACTGATAAGGGTAATGACTGTTTTATTAGATCCAAAAAAATAGATTTGTCATCGGAAACGTCTATTATGATAAACAACTATATTAATGAAATAAGATAACGCCAAGAGATAATATGTCAAACAAAAATAACTCAGTTAATCATATACACATGTTCGAAAGAACAAAAACAACTGCAATACGTTTTTTTTTCTCAATAGAAATTATACACGAATAAGAAGATTTAGAAAGTTTTAACTTTCATCCTCAGAAGAAAACTACAGAATAATTCACTCAGATTCGATGAAACAACTATCTGTTCTAATTTACCGACTTTTTTTCTTATGCATATGCCCTATGTTTATGGAATTGTCTCTTTGAGAGAAACTGAATGCATAAAATGAAAATTATATAATTAACATAGAGATAACTGTTAGGTGATGATAGTTTTTATCTTTAGAACCTGGTGAAATGTTTATATTTATTTATCTTTTCTCCTTTGTCTGTAACTTCTGATTAATGAATTTAATGTCATAATTAACTGAGTCGATCAAAAAGAAAGCACACAATATTTCCATTAGATACATATCAGGGATATAAAGATAAATGACACACACAATACTGCTCTAAATTATAAGAACAAATGGTTTTCTAATTCAAATTTTTCTTGAAACTGTCTACTTGTTTTTTCATAAAATCGTTTTATATTGGAATAGAATGTATTCGTATGCACATTTGTCTATATGAATAAATTAATTATAGAACAAACATTTTCTCATATTTAGTGTCATCAACATCCAATTGTAATAGCAGTTATTATTGAGGGTGGGTGTGGTTGAAATAATAAATCCATTCCTTCAAGAGATCTGATAAAGAAAGTAGTAGTGGAAATGTAGACTTGAATTGATTATTTTTATTTCACAATATGATTTTAAACTCATTTTTTTCATTCTGGATATAGTTTATGTGAGAAACAAAGTCAATAACGTGTTTTAGTTCGAATATTACACCAATCCATCTCAACGGGAAAACTTTATAAAACCCTCATTCACCATTTTTTCAATTTAATACAACAAATATAGGCTACTCTTAATGTGAAGACAAAGAGTATTCATAAAAAAGTCTGAATGAAGATTAATCTATTTTCTGACAGTTCATTTATAAGAAAATCTAACAAATGTTTAAATTTTTAATTAAATCTATATGGATTCTATGTCATACATCTCATATGTAAATTCAAGAATTTTAATGAGAACTTGCACTATTTTCTACAGATTTAAAAGAACTGCTAGGAAACTTATAATTTCTTAGTGTCAACATTTTGGCTTTGCCATTCCATTTAATAAAAATGGATCGTCTACGTTTGGTCTGGGATGACCTTCGATTTATATATAAACTTGAAGGTGTAAGTGTGGATGTAAATGCCAATTAAGAAAAGAAAAATACATGCTTATAGCATAGGTATCTTTTCATTACTTTCAAATGAGATTTATCTATTTGTTTCGAGATGAATAGTTCTTATTAAATAATATAATGAAAGGTTTTTATCAAGAGTATGTACTCTTTGCTATTCAATATGAATTATTAATGGTTGAGATATCCTTAACGATAAATGATGAGTATGCACTCGAATATTAATCATAGAAAAATAGATCTATATAAATTGCTTCAATTTGGTATTTTTAAGGTCCTACACAATAGACACCGATTACAAGGTGACCTAAGATGATGTCAATTCGTGTCTTCTCTTGTGTTCTATTATTAGTGACTGTTATATTCGCTCCTGTCAATCCTCTACCTACAGTTCGATCTTATCTTATCAAAGGACGTTTCCAATTGATGAGATCTCTCGAATTTGCAATTTTTGATGCGGCGGGAGTTAAACAGCAATATCGCATCGAATCTCAATTTGGTACAATGGAAAATCCTAAAGTTGTTGCTTATCCGTCGAAAGAAATCGTCGCTACGTTGCAAGAAAAATTTGTAAATCTTATGTACAACGGAATAATTTCTATTCTCGATCCTACTTCTGATGAATGGATAAGTGGAAAAATTTATCACAAATTCCTTGACGACATCTTCATTGAGTGGAATGGACATCGTGTGAGGATATTACGTAAAAAGGGAGATGATCGAAGCTTATTCTTCCGAGACGAAATTAATGGAACCATTTTAGCTAACTCTGAAAAGAAATCAAAATTTAAATATTTCTCAATTAAATATGACGTGAAAGTATTCTCGGATGAGTTACCAGATGCAATTTATTTTCTGGGAATTGCCGTCGCGAATGAAATAGCAAAACGACAATCCAGCCGTGGAAAATGATCTAATAGATGATAGAAATATGATGTTTATGTGCAATTGGTATTTAGCATTAAAACAAATAAACTCATATTCATTCATCATCAATCTTATTACTTTTCTCACTTATCCATTAATTGTTTTATTTCTCAAACATTAAAATAAAATAAAAAGGGTGTGGGTACCTCTTGTTCAGTTACACCTACACCCATCCCACGCCCTGAATAACAAAAGTTTCAAGTTGAAGTAAGCAGATTACATGTAGAAACTCGCTAGCAACGGTTCACCATCGCTTTCTTTGCATTCTCTTGTGAAATTCATTCGTAATACACTTTTTCTGCATCAATGTGACAGTTATTTAATTGTATGCTATAGAAACATACAGAATTATCATGAAAAAGAATAGAAAGAATCTGTACATGTGCATCGACGTTTGTTTGTTCTCTACAAATACATCGTTCGATGCAGAAGAATCATGCCGCTTAACACAAAAGAAAGCATAGAAGTCAAACGCTACGATCAATAACGGTTACAATACTCGCATGTGGAAAAACAAAATATACATAAGTTGTATATCCAAAGATATTCTCGTTTCATAAAATGACAATGTTTCATACACGCACATTTTTTCGAATGATGTTCTTTGGACTTGCCGTCTTTGGCTGTTTCCTAAGCATCTATCAATCTCGAAAGACCATTTCCCAGGCAACTGAATTTGATTTTCAATCGTACTTGCGACAGGAAGTAAATCAATTTGTGACGTCAAACTTTTGCAAGGAGATTCCTAAAATATCACAAGATAACACTAACTATGATCTATCACAATATAAATATGAATGTCCTCATCATCGATACACTACGCGTATCATTGAACGAAGTCCGTTGATTGTATATATTGAACAGTTTCTTACACAAAATGAAATTCAATATTTAATTGAATTGACGTAAGTTTCAAATACTCATGCCATTGTATATATGCCACTTTATGTATATACTAGAGAACCATTCCTTAAACGTTCGACGGTTCTTGCATCGGACGGAAAATACTATATTAACGATAATCGAACGTCAAGATCAGCTGAAATCCGTCGTCATCAAACACCTATTGTCGAATGTATCGAACGACGATTCGCACAGTTTCAAGGTGATATTGACGTTGAACATATGGAACCATTACAAGTAGTGGAATATACATCCGGAAAACAGGTATAATACAATTTCTATCCTCAGCCAAATTGTTAGGGTTAATGAAAATCATAAAGTTTTTCTGTTTCTATTTATTAACTTAGGTTAAACCTCATTACGATTGGTTCTCACAACCTGAAATTTTAAAAAATGGTGGTCAACGAGTAACTTCATTTTTCACCTATCTTGAAGACAATTGCTCTATGGGTGAAACTGAATTTCTTGATATTCGATTCAATAAATCATCACATGAGCGATTTTGTGATATATTAATTTGTGATGAAAACTCGACCGAATTTGGTATTCGATTTCGTCCATTAGCCGGAAATAGTGTCTTTTGGTATAATACGGATGAATATGGAGAAGTTGATTATTTGACATATCATGCTGGTCGTCCACCTGGTGAAAATGGTCGTAAAATTGGATTGAATACTTGGACACACATAGACAAGTTTCCTTTACCGACAAAAAAAATGATTGAGAAATAACTGACAATATTTTTTTGTGATTGTTTATGAAAAAGAATTCAGGGTGTGGATGAATATTTTCTCTTCTCTTCACTTCACCCTGACTCACCTGCTCATTCAAAAAAGACTATAGACTCACATCCACACTCACAAGCTAACTGATGACGAAGAAAAGAAAAAGAAAAGAAAAGAAAAATGCAAAATAAGTTTTTTCGTCACGTGTTTGGACCGTTATATAGTTGACAAACACAACAGAACCAGATAAATTGAGTGTTGCAATACTATATAATGATGCAAGGAGTTACAAGACGCAGCATAGAAAATTTTAACAGTTAATCAATTAATTATAGACTCAAACAAAAAATAATATGCATACTCCATTACGACATCTTTCCTTTAAACAAATAAAGAAATTTGCTCTTAACATCTTCATGGATAAATCAAATGATCCGATCAATAGCAAATCTAATGCACAATCATACTTGTCTGTATCAACACAGTCCAATATTAAGTACAAACCTATGCCTGATCCACTGTCTGTCTATGTACCTTTGAATTCTTTAACGGAGGAAACCATTGATTCTATTGTTTCAACTGTTCAACAACGTGATAAAAGGAACTGGAATCAAAGCAAACGTACTTTACTAGCTTTTTTACTTGCGATAAATAATAAAGTAAACGAAATCGAACAAAACAATCACTCGAACAATAAATTCGATGAACAAACTGTTCAACATGCTGCCAAAGTTCGACAATGGCTAATAGAGAAAGTTCAATTTGGTGACAATAAGGAACTTCAATGGGATGAACTTCGACAAAATTATGAAAAAATGGTACACCAGAATGATGATAACGAAATGGCAAAGCAATTGAATATTACAACCATCGAGCCTTATTATGAGTTAGCTATTGAAGGAGTAAGTTTGTCGTCAGTGTTCATATAGAATTTTCCATTAAACATTTTTATGAACAATACTAATGTTTCTCAGTCATAGTAAGTACTAAGTGTAACCAATGACGATCGATATTACACATTACTAGGAGTATGGATAAGAGTGAATTGGTAACTAACTAACTTGGTAATAATTGAATTAATTATCGTAAAACTTAATTATTTATAGAACTAATGAAGTTTTAACTACTTTCACTGGAGACCATCCCTACGAACAGAGTACTATAAATTAAAATTTTTCATATTAAGAACATTTGTTTAGGTACATCGTGATGTTAATCGATCTCGAGAATATATGGCTCGTTTTCGTAGTTGTGGTTGGAAACCTAATGAGTTAAAAGTCTACTGGAATGCAACACAACTTGAAAATCTCTGCCCAAAATATGAAACAAACGACATACAAGTAAAAGAAAAAGATAAAAATCTACCGTCACATGATCCATCAGATGCAGATGCTGTACTAGCTCTACGTCAATATCCTGTATCAAAACGAAATCATGCTGGCACGATCACATATGTGAATAAAGGAATTCAAGATGCTGTTTTCGATGCACCTAAAGATGCTCAGTTAATTGTGCTTAATTTCGCTGTAAGTTATACTTTAAATATTATTCCTGGCTATATCTAAATATTTTAGAATGAAAGAACTCCTGGTGGTGGATATTTGAGACACTCATGTAAGTAGTATTCATTTGTTAATCATTTCGAAAGTAGTACTTTCTATTTGACTAGTGGCACAAGAAGAGATTATTCTTTACAATTCTGATGGTTATCGATCATTGTTGGATCTAAAGTATGGACGAATGGGTGGTGGTTATGCTATACCAGAATTTGGACTAGCTTATGTACGTGATATACGTTTTTTTGATGCAAGAACAGACAAAAATCGTAGAGCTGATATGTTAGTATCTGCATGCTATTGTCTTTCTGGTTCACCTCAACTTTATAAAAATCCACCATCTACAGAAGAGGTAAATACATGAGAAAAACTAAAGCCTTTTAATTTCTATTCAGTAAAGGTCAAAACTGAGTGTTTTTACTAAAACTATTTATTCTATCTGCTAATAAAATTTGTTTTGTTTATTTTAGTGCATAATAAACCATATAGCAAAATTTCGTGCATTTATAGCTGCAGCTGTTGCTAATACTATTGGTGATGGATCAAATACTTATCTTTTACTTGGACCAATAGGTACAGGTGCTTTTGGAAATGATGTTAATGATATTGGATACGCCTTTCGAGAGGTACTCTCATCAAAGATGATGGGTTCAAATGGCCCTATTCGTCATGCTTTTGGAAACATTTGGTTTGTATCAACAGATAAATGGAAAAATAATCGTTTAGAAAAAATCCTGAGTGAAGATAGCATATCTAACGTTGAATAACATTACCTATTTTTACTTTACACATTTAAATATGATTGAGAAACACACTTCATAAAAATACATAAAAACTTATTAAATCTCGTTCGAAGTATTCGTCAAAATGTCTTTATCGAGGATGGGTGTGGGGTGCGAGTTAGTGGTGTATCCACGATTTGACTGATGGCCTGGCAGTGTCTTACAATTCTTATTTAAGTTCATCGACAATATAGTAAAAAAATAAAGTACCTAGTAAGAATCTTTATCGGCATAAATAATCGTTGAACTATAGAATCAATAGTATAAGAACAAAAACAAAATAATAGCAATATTTCAAAAAATCAATCGTCAACTTTCTTTGTTTAACTTCTTAAATTAAAGTATGACGGTAATATAAAAGCTGGCAAGCATAAATCTTTGAAACTTCTTTTATTGAATATGCAGTTATAAAAAGATAAAAATCCGATCAGAAATTGACCTGCTGAACCGGTAATATAAACGGAAATCTATGCAAATAGTATAATTCGTCATCCAAAGAAATTAATTCCGTTTTACATGTATTCGAATCTTTTTTCAATAGTGAAATTGCTTGTTGAAATTCATTATTGAAATGTTCACCATAAATAAGATCAATAGAACAATAAGCTCCACTAAATATGAGATTTGCTAAAACTGCTGAATCATGTCCTTCAATATCAGTTTTCATCATTACTTTTGGTGGCATAATTCCAGATGGTATTTTCCGAATTAGAACTGTTCTTTTAAACCAAGATGTGATATCAATACCTGGTACAGTAACATTTAGTTTCTTACCACCCTCTATTAAACTTGCATCCCATTGATTATTTTGGTTATCTCCAGGGTTAATATAAAAAGTAAGATTTTTATCTACATAACTAACAGCAGTTGATTTAAAAATCTTCACACGCCATTTTCGTGCTAAACAATAGTTTTCAAATTCTGTTAAATAACTATTATGTACAGGATTTGCTTCAAATCCAACTGAACAAACTTCATTAAAATTATTTCCAAAGATATTTTTAAAATGTTGAAGAATAGGTGCACCTGGATATAAATGTGGTTCATAAAGTTTTCGAATTTGTACACCAATATTGGTTCCCAGATCAATATAAACATATCTGCAGCCATCAAGAAAATTATTTTCAGACATATTCCAAATGTTTTCTTTTAGATATGGTTCTTTTTTCAATATAATACTGACGAAAAAAATCGCAGCAAGTGTAGAGATAATTCTTATCTGAATGCATGCAAATATATAATAGTGAAAGTTACTTTTGAAAGTAATCTTAGTTTACCTTTGTAAATTTCAACATCGATGTGAATGTCATTTTAGTTGTAATTCAGAACGAAAACAACAAAATATATTTTATATTGTGTTAAGTGATGTCAACGATCAGTTTCTCATACGCCAGTTTGTACACTAAAAATACAATGAAACTTTAGTTATTATACAAATTTGAAAAGTCTTTTGTTATTAAGGGTGAGTGGGTGTGGGTGCGGCTGTTTTTCAACTACATGCTCAGTCAATCACACTCACACTTATACTCGGGGTATTGATGAAACTCGATCAGTGGTGATTAGACCTCTTATGTTAAATGCCGATGAAGTTCCTAGAATTGGATTGAAATGATTCCGTAATGTTTAACATCGCGGAATAGGATGTATTCTCATTAATAAGACAAGTGTTTTTTGTATATATATATTTATATTTTTTATTTCAATTCTTCTAATCAATGCGACAAATGGTGCGTATAACTGTAATATAAAAGAATGTCCTTTTCTTTATTACTTTAAATACATATGATCAGTGCGACAAATGGTGCATGTACTTGGAATATAAAAACAATATATCCCTCTTCGCTATTTTAGATATCTATAGTCAATGTCCCAGATGGTAAATGTAATTCGAGTGTAAAATAATATATTTCTCTGTTATTTTATATGTCTACGATAAATAGTACATCGTTTTTCGTAGACACTTACACGACAAAATGATTTTTTTCCTTTCAATTAAGTTAATAGGTTTTATACTTAATGAAAAACTATTGTATTTTTTGTTATTTAATCAATTATAGGAATAAAAAGTGATGCAATAAATTCAAATGTTTATTAGGAAAATGATAATTACAGTACTATTCAAAAAAACTTGCACTAAATTTAATTTTTTGTATAACGATTTTCTTACCGTTACAAAGTAATTACAAATTTGACTTTTCCAAGAATATATATTTGTTAGCTATACTACACGTTAGCTATATAAAAGTGTGATTTCTCTTCTTTTTGATATATAAATATTTATTCATAACATAATCTACTGGTTTAAAAAACTATCATATATTCACATTATATTATTGGAGCGGAGGCACGAGCTGCGTTCATGCTAATTGTAATGAAATAAAGATATCACTAAGCACTATCTATTACAATATAAATAAATTGAAATAAACAAATTCACTTATACAGGGAAGAGGAAATGGTCGACTCGTGCCACATGAAAATAGAAAAAATATATATTGCTCAATATATTCAATGTGACAATTAAATAATCCTCAATGAAATCAAAGAAAAATTATCGATAACTAATGGTTCATATTAGGTTCATACACTAAAATATTATCTTCTTTCTGCTGCTAGACAAGAATTTCGTCAAAATTGGTGTTTACAACAGGGTAATGATCGTAATCATACTCACAATAATTCCAAACAATTGATCAACAGCAAAATATTAGAATTATTGAAGTGCTCATCTAATACTCGAAACGCTAATCCTATCGAGAACTAATGATCGATCGTAAAACGCAACGTTGAAAGAAGAAAACCGAAAAACATTGATGAACTCGGACTTTTTTATATGAAGAAGTTAAAAATGTTGATGTTAATATTGTAATGAAAAGTATGATGTCGATGAGAAAATGATGTTTGTGTCTTATTGAATCTAAAGGCGAACGAATAAAATATTGAAGTATAGTGTTTAATAGTACTCGACATAGACAATCAATCAGTAATGGAAACTACTTGAGAGTGACTTATATATGGGGATATATTTACATAACAAGATGTGCAAGTTTTTTTTGAATAGGACTGTATCTCAATTTCTCATAAAAAGAAAGACAAATCAGTCGTTATTATTACAATAGTAAAAAAGTTGACTCTTAATGTTCTCAATACGGCTAATACTAACATGCTTAACTGTTCTTGGCATTATTTATGGATTCTACAACGGAATAAACTGAATATTATAGAAGAAGAGAATTATTTTTAGATATTCTTTATATTATGAAGTAGAATAAGAACAGTACGAAAATAAAATTTACACAATAACAGTGCATTTGTTTTATTATTAAAGAATAACTGAAAACAAAACTACTAAAAATAGAAATAAATTCAAAAATGATTTCACAACTGTTTCAATATTATACAATTGTGTCAAAATATAATGCATATAAATTAAATGAATTTAAAATATATTCCAACTAGTACCATGATGTCGTAATATACATTTTTTAGATTTTACTAAAATAACTCCAAGCTATTTTATATCAAGCTTTCGATAGATATCATTGGGCATTATCAAAAAAATGAATATAGAAAGAAAAAGATGCATGAAATGATACAAAATTAAACAGAGCAACTTCTTGAATGATACTTATTGTAACAGAACAATAACAACTTTTATACAAATTTAAAAATAGTATACATATAATAGATAAATAGAGTAGTTTAATGAATTTGTATGTATATGTGCAGAGTATACAATCGTTATGAATACGATCATCATCAATAAGTTTACCAAAGTATGAAAATACGCAAAAATGTTTTGTAACAGTAAAATTTATGCTACCAACATAATAACAGTTGTGAATTCTATTGATCTATAACTATACATCTATAGCCTGAGTGTCTGTATGACGGTGTAAGTGTAGGTGAGAATGAGAATAGCTGTGGGTGTTGATGGAACTGTCACTAGGATGTGATTCTGATATGCACATCTACACCCTCACCCACACCCTGTCTTGTTACTTTTTTCTCTCCGAAAAAGTTCTCCAATAGCATAGTTATATTCTTCTTGTTGAAAGAATTTTTTTATACTCATTTCTGCATTCTCTTTCCAAAGAAAAAAAACTTTTTTACTCTCACCATCAGACTCCTTCCCGACAGAAAAACTTATTCATCATCATTCCTGCATACTACCGCATGAAAAAAATTGTTTTTGTTTGTCTTGTTACACATTTCTTCTAGAAAAAACTTGTCCGTCAGCTGTTATGTTCTCCTTGTTAGAAGAATTTTTTTATATTCATTTCTGCATTCTCTTTCTAAAGAAAAAACTTATTTATTCCCATCCTCAGATTCTTTCCTGGAAAAAACCTGTCCATCATCATTGCTGCATTCTCATTAGCAGATGTATTTGTTTTGTTCTCATTCCTATACTTTCCTTCCTGAAAAAAACTTATTTCTTTTTACTTCAGTCTTTTACGCAAAAAAAAGTTTGTCTATCATCGTTCTTATATACTCAACACTGGAAGGAATAGTTTTTGCTCTTATTGTTACATTTTGTTTTTCAGAAAAAATTATTGTCACTCTGTGTACGAAGAGAAGGAAACTATTTCATAAATCAGTGGTAAGTAGTAACTGTAGTGCTTTTTTTTGTCTTTCGATAGATAAATATAAAAATCGAAGATCACTTCGAATACTTATTGAGGGTACGGGTGTGGAGTGTTAATGTGTGTAGGCGTTGATGTGGATGTGGTTATAGTTATGGGGTCATTCTCATCTTCGTCACCCACACCCACCTTCAAATATTATATTTGAATCGCTAAAATCTTGAGTGTGCGCGTTGAGAAGAGTACCTCGGTGGGGGTGCTTCAGAGGTTGCTAAGGGGAATATTTCATTGAAATATTTGAAGTCAAGTATAATATTTGAATATTTGAATTCAACTTGCGTATTTGACACTACTGAAAAGTTATAAGGATTATTTACAGATATGTCGTGAGAAATACAACAAAAACCTTCGTATAGTCTCCAAAAATTTGCGAAAGTCATCTCTAAATATATTCGAAAAACTAAAAGGAGCATCCAGAAGTTGTTTATTAATGCTAGTTCATTACTACCAGGAATAATGAAGTCCACCTGTAAGTTTTTAATTTTTTTGTCATTCAGTTGAAAACTATTTGTAATTAGTTTCTTATTAATTAATTAGTTTTAACTAAGTGGTAACCGAAAGAACTAGCTCAGATAAAGAACACCTAAACAATCAAGGTCTGAGACAAGCTCGATATCTATCTTTATTTTTGAAATTGTTTATATATAAAAGATAGTTAAATATGGACTAATGGACTCCAGTTCGGCTGACACCAGTTTTCAGTCACTTCGTATGACCAGAAAAGTTTAAACTAAGCGTGGTTAACCAAATCATTGTGTGCAAAGAAATTTGTTACATTTCTTGTTTTTTTAGATGCCAACCGTAATGCGAAATACCATAACGATGTACTTAATGCTCATCATTCCAGCAACAACTATATTATTTGGTATAATAGCTGTATTACTTGGTAAACCCGTCGACAGAAAAGAAGTGCAGGAACCCAAAATGAATCGTATGCAGCTTAATTTTTCTATATACGACAAATATGCCAATAATACAGTGGAATTAATTAGAAATCCACGATTTCGTTCGACCATTGAAGAATTCCCTACATCATTGGAGATTATCAGAGCTGAGAATTGCAGTGCTTATATAGATTTACTACTCGATCAACACAAAAATTCTGATAAGTATATGCAGGAGTTTATTGCCCGCATTCATTTCACCGAACAAGGTCAATATTTTTTTCGATCGGTGTCTGTAGGATGGAATAACTCTTTTTCACTTACTTTCATTGCTCATAAGAAATTCGATAATCATCATATGATTCTCATCTCTTCTTTAACAAGAAAGGTGACCGTATCGATTTGGTATCGAATATTGACACCCATCAAATCTCTTATCGGCATGACAAACAGCGAACAGCAACAAATGGAAGCAATTCTAACAGGCTCGAATCATGTTCAAAACAAGCAAATATTGGAAAACGCGATGATGTATTTAATAGCTGAGAAGATTAAAAATCGTTTCAGTGATTATTTCGACGTGAAGTATATCGAAGGAAACAAAATATAATTTTAACTTTTTCTCGTTTTATGACTTTTTCAGTTCAAAACCATACAACTGTGAAACAGAATGACTTATTTAGATCGCCTATAATTTAAATGATCAGTAATAAATACCAAATTTGACTGGTAAAAATGTAGATTTTATCAAAAGAAGAAGTAGCTTTATCCATATAAAGATTAATTTGGCATAAGAAAAATAAATTTAAGTAAATAAGAAGAAAGTTTTCTAAATAATTAGTGAATTATAATGCATTCTATCAAACGATGTAGAACCATCAGAGGTTTAGTCTACTAACGGCACTATAGTAAGATTTTGTTTGTTTTTTAGGACTTCAGTTTAAGGATGAAAGTGATGCTATAGTATATTTGCTTTTTTATACTTATCTTTTGATTTCATTTACTGATTGTTCATTTTTTACTGATCATTTTGTTTATATTACTGATCATAAATTATGTTCCCATTTAAACCATTTAATTAATATTTCATTTATTTAATAAAAACAAATATATTCTAATTATATCGTGAATGTTTTACATTTGAAAAGATGAATCTGCTTAAAATTTATTTATATTAATTAAGATATATAACGGTCAGAGTGAATATTACAAGTAAATGATTATTACTTATAAAACTTGAATGCTATGTACAGAAGATATAAGATATACAGCGAGTTGTAACAATTCAAAAAATTAATACAAATATTTTCCGATATCATATGTATCAACTAGTGTTGCCAGAATAAGAGTGGACAGGTGTGATTATCGTAAGTCTGAGTGAAAGAATATTAATGCTTGCCTAGAACTATCCACTGACAACCTATCGATTTCGAGGACACGGACGTGGTGTACATATTTATTGACATGCAATAAATAGCTACTACGGAGTTCTCTTCAATGCTATCAAATTGTTATCGTTCAACATCTTTAATACACGGCTTCTCATCTTGAGAATGTGGGTGTGGGTATTCTATACAACTCTCGCGCCCACCTACATCCGCATTTACACTAATTCAATCTTAAAATGGTAAGAGAAAATAATGCAGATGTCTAATCAGTTGACAGTGTATGAGATACTATAAAACGAAGTCAATGATGTGAGTGGTGAAAAACTTAGGTTTGACATCCATCGTTAATTTCAAGATAGGAAAATCTACAGCAAATCAAATTGTACATGTTATCAAGTTAGATGATGGATGTTGAGCTATGCTAGGTTACATAAGTAGAGTTATTATTAAAACATTTAAGTAAATCGATAATTTATCATTTGAAGCATCCGATATTAATGAAGAGTCACTCGAAGACATGAACGTTTTATGTGACGCACCTAATCATTAATATTAGATACGATAAATATTCTTCTTTTTATATATTCATGTTATCTCTTGATTTTGCAAGAACAACGAGATCTATGACAGACATCTTATTTTCCATTATTAATAGAAAACTCACAGATTTTCTCCAATAAATAACTGTACGCAGAGAACTGAAATAAAGAGCATCAACGATACAGTCTCTAAACAGTGAAGATAAATGATACAATGTATAGTTGTTAATCAATAAATTCGAATAACACGATTGTTTAATATATGTGTCTATGTATTTTTTAACGACAAAACAGATCAATATGTCATTAATAAGCAACAGTCGAAAATGATTATTAAGTTAATCAAAGTATGGAAAAGTTTATCTTTCTAAAATGAAAATAAAATGAGACAATCACTCAATATATACTCAATCTTATTTAAAAATATATAAAATTATTCATCATGAATGTTATCAATTCTAAAAATGTACATTTATGATAAGACACATCTCAGATATTATCAAATTTATATATTAACCTGTCTAAAAACTGTAAATTAGATACAGAAAACATTTTGATCAATTTCTCGAGTAACGTAGAAAAAATTTATTATAACAATGTTAAATTTTCATAAGTTTGTTAGAAAAAATACATATATAGAAGAATAGTCATTCATATAAAAATATAATAGCGTTAATAAAGCAGATTTAATAATATATCAAGATTATTATAAGGTTAACATCGCTATCGACGAAATCTTCCATTTGCTATCTTTATCATATACCTTTGCTCTTCACGATGTTTTTCTCCTTTCAAATAATATTTTCCTTCGAAGCTTTGTGTGTTAGGATTCCATTCAGCTTGAATTATCATTGTTTGACCAGGATTTTGACTTGTATCTCCTAGTCCTTTTTGGTAACGTTTTTCAAACGCCATTCGAAGCGTTCTTGGCGAATATGACCCAGTTGCAACAAATGTACCAAGATTATCGATTCCTTTGCCATATACAGTATGATTAGCTTTAGGATAAAATGCGAGGGTTAAGTCATGAGGACCTTGCCATACACCATCTTTGTAAAAATAGCCAGCCAATGCACTAGGCTGAAAAATAGCATTGCCCAAATCCTTTTGTGCACGTAATCCATCGCGAACATATGCTTTATTTGAGCGAAGAGGTGAGCCCTTACAAAAATATAAACAACAACAAATACCTATCACACCAACTAGAAAAACGACAAAAACTACGCCACCAACAACGCTACCAACTATAATACCAATGTTTCCACTGTCATTATGATCATCATTATCTAAACAATTAAAAAACAAATATTTATATATTATTTTTTATAATAACAATTTGTGAAATAAAATAATAAAGTAGACTACAAAGAAAGGAACTTATAATAATGAAAATGATTTCGTTTATAGACATTCATTATGATGTCAAACTTAAACGACAAACAAAGGATGTCATATCTTAAATATGAATATCTGTTGGATAAATGTAAATAGACAGTTGATCCTTATATACGAAAGAAGTTAAATCATCCTAGCTTAGATTTTGACATAAAGGTAAACAGAGTAGTGTTGTTTCAGGAAGTTAAGAATACTACTAAATTTATATATTAGAAAATGTTCAAATCGTAAAAACATGTCAAATAGTATCAAGAATAATATGAAGGGCTAATTTATTGAACTTACTAGTGACTGCTGCTCGGGTAGTAGCAACAGTAGTGGCTACTGTTATTGTGATTTTATTGACTGCTGTTGAATTGCCAGCATTTGTTATATTGGTAGCCCCAATTTTAGTAGTAGTACTTGTTGTAATGGTGATGCTTGTTGTGACAGTGGTACTCATTGTATCAGTAGTGATCGTTGTAGTAATAGGGATCGTTGTAGTAGTAGTGCTCTCTGTAGTTGTGGTGCTTGCTGTAGTAGTAGTGCTTGTTGTAGTAGAGATGCTCGTTGTAGTTGTAGTGCTTGTTGTTGTGGTTATAGGTGGAATACAGCCATAAAAAATTTGAATCTCTTCGATGTCAATTGGACTTAAAGTATCACGTTGTCCAATAATCGCAGTCGGGTCTAGAGGTACTAGCGTATCCGAACCATTTATACTAAAATAATCTCTGCCATAGTGCATAACAGATCCATAATCATATGGAGTATTCAAAGTGTCCACTTCGCTATCATTATACTTGTCAAAATTATGTTCCAGACCTATTCAGTTAAAACAAGCAAAACAAAAATCTGATTAGTATTTTATTCTTTTCCTAATGAAAACAAGGATATATCACCTGGTATTATTGTATCATAAATTACTTTTACATAATTATCACGATCTGGACGTGATTGTTCATGGAAGAATCCTATAATCACATGAAAGTTACTAGTGTTTAGAGTATATAGGAAAACAAATTCATAGTTTCTTTTTAGTAGTTAAGCGTTCATATTGTATAAAGCAATAAATAAAAATATTTATTTCGTATTTACCTAATGTATGTATAAGTTCATGCATAATTGTTCCATTGTATATACAACCAGGATGTTGTAAAGTAACTGTACGATTTAAAGTATATCCTGTGTATCGTCCAACCTTTGAATAGTAGAAAGCGTATCAAATTAGGAAGAATTATGATCTAACAACAAACTTACATAAGAACTACAGCCTGAACCATTATAAATTGTTATATAATAATCACCATCTGCTGCCACTTTGTCACGAAATTGTACACAAGGTACATTATTAACTGCTGTTAGATTTTCCAACAACCGCATTGCATAAACGATTGCATTTTGTTCTGTACTTGCTATAAAAAAGGATAAAAATTTTTCAAAAGTTTTATGAACAACATATTTCTAATCTTTCAAATATTTAAAAGTGAAATTAATGGTTAAAAATAAAATTGATTTTTACCATAATCTGATGAAATGACATATGGTACAATTCCATTTGGCCAACGAACATAACTACCACGCATAGCTACACCACGCTTAGCTACACCATGCTAAATTATTTTTCAAAAACGCATTTATTATTCTCAACAGTATAAGAAAACAATTCACTTACTGACAATACAGGAAGTTTTATATCACCTTGATAATATCCACCTAAAGAAAAGTACATACAGATAGACATGTTTATGAGTTTTATGCAAACTAATTGAAAAAGTCTTAAAACTTTTCCCTACAGAAGCATCACTATTTATTTCATAATATATAACTTACCAATTTCCTCAGGATGTCTAAGCTTTCCTGATGAGTCCTTAAATAAAATAATCAAAAATTTTACATTATTTCAAATATATATACACATCTTTGTATAATAACTTACCGATACTAGTGGTATTCCATATAAATTTCCTGAGAAATTTATTATGATAAAGATAAATAAAATAATAACAATCATTGTATAACTTTGATCAATGTCTCAAGTTTGATTTTTCTTTATTAATAATGAGTAAATGAATCAAATATACTAGTTTTACATCTTTATATATATATATAAGTGTACACATATATCATGACAATTAGAAACATCAGGACTAGATGTAATCACTGAAGACGTCACCATAGATATTGACTCATTACAAATATCTTTTTTAAATTTGGAAATTCTCAATTCAGTTTAGCCATATAAAGGTTACAGATACAAAATACGGTTCAGAAAGAAACGTAAATCATGACAAGCATTACTATATCGAAATATTAGGTGCATATTGTTAGTACTTATAAGTTAATAATTAAGATATTCGTTATATATTTTGTTTTTTCTTTTACTTCCTTGATTGATATTTATTTATGATAACATCGGTTTTCATCCTACTCTTTCATCATCATTTTCAATAATTAGTAAAGTCATGTATTTTCATTTCTATCCATCATTTGATTATTTTATGATATAATTTCTATTTTCTAGTAAGCCGTGCTATTACTTTATCGAAAAAATAATTTCATATGAATCATTTCGCTATACCTATTGATGACATATCTAAGTATAAGATACGAATCAGACATATTTTATATAAATGATGTGATCAAGGAAAATAACAAATATCACCTTTATTCAAAATGACTAATATATTGGGGGGAAGGTGAGGATGTGCATTTATTCCCTGTATACTCATCCACATCCATCCCCAAGAATTATCTTTCATTCAAGTAATAAGACGCTATGCAAACGATCGAAAGTCAAAGAAAAACTGAATAAGAATATCTTGGTATTTTCTAAATATATCATTAGTAAATTCGTTTGTTGGTATAAATAATTTTTTTCTTCTACTATTAGTAATATTCTGAAGGTAGTAATATTCGATTCTCCTAATTTATTTCAAAGCTTTACAGAATCTGATTCAATGCAGTATGACAAAAATAAATTCAATGACATCAATCAGATAGATTATTCAAACTTAGCCAGAACAGTCAGACAAGCATAGTTTGTTAATTTATCATTCGATATTATTATTTGAAAATTAAAAAAACATTAAATATATGTATCAATATGATTAAACTAGTTATTTTTCGATATTTTGCTTTACGAAAGATATTAATTTTGATAGTTGTTAGTTTAGTATAGAAAAGTGTATATATCAAGCAAACATGGTACATATTTTATTCAAAAAATAAACAAAGTCAAGTAGATATTGACATGTAATATTGATCTTTCGTTATTTATATTCAACAAAGAATTTCAAATATAAAAATACGATTTTATCATCATCAATAGAATTCGTACACAAATGTTGCATGATCTAGATGAAAGACTTAAAAACTCATTAACAGATATATACTCAATCTGTTCGTTCAGGTTCGATGCATATCTATTTAACACAATCTCTATTTCGGTTATATTCATTTCATTTCATGTTTCTATTCATTCAACAATGTCTGCCGTATACTTTTTTTTGAAATAAGTCGATTACGATAATCGCGCGCGTTCTCTTGTTCAACAACCAATCATTATTTATCGAACAAAATAAATGCATAAATTTCATTCGTCGATGTTTTTCTTCAAAAGAGAAAAAAAAAGACATCTGCATGTATGTGTTAGAAAAAAAAGAAGATTTATTTTTCCTCTCTTATATACATACACAGGTCGCACACGATGTATATTTTCTCTTCTCATCTCATTGAACAAATGTACAACAAAAAAAAGAAGAAAAAAAAAAGAAAAGAAAAGAATCGAATACGTATCCGTATAAGCGAGCGAACGCGTCTGTACAGCAAGCAAGTTCATCTCGTCCTTCTCTTTTCTTTCCCTTGTTTTTTTTTTCTTCTTCATCACATTCGATGACTGACTGACTGACCGTCGAAAGCAGCAGTCGTCAGACATATACATTGGATATACGTAAGCTTTTGTTTTAAAATACATCGATTTTTTTCTGTTCTAGATAATGATACCATCAAAAAAACTAAATCTAGATCTTATAAATGAACATTTAACTTGTCGTCTATGTTCAGGTTATTTAATTGATGCTTGGACAATAAATGAATGTTTACATTCATTTTGTCGTCCATGTATATTTTCATATTTTAATGATCATGATGAAAATACAGCATGTCCAGTATGTTCAACAGTTCCACATCCAGCTAATCCATTACTTGGTATAACAAAAGATTGTTGGTTACAACAAATTGTTTATAAATTAGTTCCATCATTATTTAAACGTGAAATGTGTCAAAGACGTATATATTATGATGCAAATCCTGATAGTAAATCGAAATTACTTGAACAATATACTAAAACACATTTATCACAAATGGGTTGTCGTGAAGAAGAATTAGGTGAATTAAGTGAACGTTGTTTATTTCAACAAAAAAATAAATTAAATAATAAAGAAAATATCTATTTAACATTAGAATATGATAAAACTCATATATATTTTCTTGAATGTTCATCAAATATGCCAATAAATATTTTAAAACAATATCTTAAAAAAGTTTTACCATTATCAAAACGATCTCGATATCAAATTGATATATTATATGAACAAAAAATTTTATTAGATAATTTAACATTAAATCATATTTATTCATGGAAACAAAGTCAATCAGATAAAAAACAAAAACAATTACATTTATTCTATAAAGTTATTATTATTGAACGTGATGAAAATGAAAATTATGATGAACAAGATAATCATATTCTTCAATCAGTTACAAATACAGTTAGTTTAGAATCGAAACCTCCTGCATTTATACGTTCAGCGAATATTTATAATAATACAAATCCAAATTCATTTGTTCATACAACACCATTTACTCCAGCTGAAGCAAGAACGATTAGTTTAAATAATACGATAACGGAACAATTTCAAGGTAATGAAACAATTGAATTAATTAAACCAAAAGAATGTACATTACTTGATTGTAAAACATTTGCTATGACAACGCCAATTAATTATACAATGAATTCTCTTAATGAAATTTCTAAACCAAAAAAACGATTAAAAAAGTAAATAGATTTGAATTCAAACTTTGTTTAATCTATTTTATTATAATAGGATCAATTCCAATGACCAACCTTTAATAAAAAAATGTAAACCTGAGAAGAAAAAGAAGATTAAAGAAGAAAAAAATCTTATTCCATTAATATCATCAAATCCATCATTAACACCATCGGAAAATGAAAATCCAAATGATATTATTGAACAAAAACAACTTTCCTATTCAGAAGTTATTCAAGAAGCAAATAAACTTCTTGCAGCTGAAGAACCATTAACACCAACAAATAATTCGAATTCATCAACATCAATACCGTTAACGAATAATCCAGTAACAACACGTTTAACAAAACCTATAGCAACTGTTTCACCACTTCATACATCAAAAAATAATCATAATCGAGTATTGGAAAAATCGAATAATGATGATGATCAATTAATTGATCTATCGAAATCAAATATATCATCGTATGTTAAAATAATTTGAAAAATCTTTTAGAATTTCATATTTTTTTCTTTTTTTTTAGTATTGATATTCCAATAAAATTAGAAACAAAAAAACGTTCGAGACAAACTTCATCGTCAACGACACGAACGAAAATATCTCGACATTCGAATAAATCGAATAATGATGATGGAAATGATTCAACAAAATCATTAAAAAAGACTCATTCAAATCAATTTTTACCACCACCACCGCCACCTCTACCACCTCCATCACAACAACAAATGTTTCAAAATCTATTTCATACATTTCAAAATCAAGCTACCTATTGGCCTATGACGCCATGGCCAGTACCTCCGTCTCTAGCACTGATGGCTGATCCAAGAAATTATTATACACAACCGTGGCCATCACCACAACAATCTATTGTGCATGCACCAAAAGATCTTAGTTCAGCAAGTTTAAATGATTTTATTAATGAAACATCTACTCCCGTTTTTCCTCTATCATCACCATTAATAAATTCCGCTTCTAATTTTTCTCGTACATCATCAACAAATTCATTACATCTTCATCATACAACAAATCGACATCGACCGTCAACATTAAATGGTACATTATCTTAATTAGAACAAATCTTTGCGTTCTAGCATTGTTTATATATTTGTGTATAATTATTATTTTTCTTCTAACAAAAAAAAAACGCAATCCTAGTCATTGTTCTTGTATAAACCATACCCGTTTATTTTCGGTGAATGAACGATACAAAAAATAAATCTATACATATATATATATCTACATTCATATATAAATATATTTTCTAAAGAATATGATAATAAAGAAAATCTTTAAGGAAAAATGAGGAGTTAATATAAGTCCTAAGCATCTAACGAGTTTGGCAGGTAAACATCTTTGATGTTGAATAGAATAACGAAGACCCTCGTCACAAGCGGTATAATTGAATGTACGATCTTCAAGACATGTATAATGCCATCTACAATGAGGTCGATATTCATCTATATAGTTACCATTTGGCATACCTCGACAAACAGGATGAAATGGACATAATGGTGAATAATCATAGTCGCCTAAAAGACAATATCAGATGAAGATTTTTTATTCTATAAATAAAAATTCATACAAGGATCAATGCAATTCTTTCTTGAACCACAAGTAACAACTTGAAAATTTTCACAACGTTTACTTGCAACAGAATAAAGTTTATGTAATGGACAAACTTGTGTTTTTAAATGACCATTGATACATTCATAGTAATGACAACAACTAGATGTATCAACTAAATGTATTCGTTGACCATCAACTGGACATTTATGTTGACCTTTGATATAAAAATAACATAAATTTATTTAAATAATAAAATTTAATCTTATTTACAATTAGGAACATCTTTTGGCCATTGACAACCATGTTCTAAATACGCAGAAATAAAAAACTAACAGTATCGAGTTATTCAACTTACTTTTATCCCAAAAAAGTCCAGGGTCACAAGAGGCTATTTTATCAACACCACCTATAAAATTAAAAATACTCATTTTTTTTTGATACTTCAATTTAACATACCATTACAATAATGATAAACAGAGCAATCATACGGATCAGGAAAATGTCCTTGAACAAAATGTCCTTGAGCATCTCGTGGACATTCAATAGGAGGGTGTGGTTGGTTTGAGCCTGGAGGGGGTTTATCGGTACCTCCATTCGTATCTGTTGCTGTAGTTGATGATGTATTCAAATGACCAGCTTTACCTAACAATATAAAACAAAAGATTAGATATTTTTAGAAGAAGAACATCTGTTTACAATCTGATTTTTCTGGCCAATCACATCCTTCTGATATTGTTGAATACCATAGATTAGTACCACATTCTTGTACTATATGAAATCCAATACCACAACGATGATAGATATGACAATATTTTGGATCTAGAATAAAGTTTTATTTTTTTATCTCGACAAAATAAATATACCGGGAAAATTTCCTTCAGCATCATATTCACATGAAAAATTTGAATCAACTTTAATTGGTGGACGAGTTGTTGTTGTATTTCGTTTTCCTCGCCAACCAACGTTAGGATCAGTAACAAATAGAGTAACTAAATTCCATACAAGAAATTTATCTGTTTATTCGATCAAAAAAACTTATTCTTTTTTACCGCCTCGAATATCTGTTATTTCATTCCATTTACGAAGACCTTTTTTACATTGAATTGTATCAGCCCATCCACAAATTTTCTTTGCTGGATCCCATACTGTACCTTCGCCGCAAACAGCAGCTGTATCAACACCTGATGTACATATATGATAGATTCGACAATTTTGTCGATCGGGATAATAACCGTCCGCTAAGAATAACAAAGAGAAAATCAATACAATAAGAAAAAAAGAAATTTACCTTTACAAACAAATGGAGTTGAATCTCGTTTAATTCGATTTAATAAAATATCATCATCATCATCATCATCATTAGGATTATATAAATAAGAATTTGGTTTTGTTATAAGAGATTGAGAAAGTTTAGTTGTAGGAAGTGTGGTCGATTGATAATAAGAACTATTTCTTATCGAATTTGTTTGTTTTATTACTTTCAATAAAATATGAGATTCAGTCGAAATGCATAAATAAATTAAAATATAATTAATACTCCACGACAATAATTGACTGTCCATTGCTCATCCTTTCATTGACGATTATATTATATACTTTAAAATTCTAACATGACATTTGATTTGTCATTCATCTAACCTTTTTTTCTTATTCCGGAATGTATGTACATATATCCTTCAAAATAAAATCTCACGTATGTACAAACAACGAGCTAATCAAGTATGCAACTATATGTTTGTTTGAGGTTTAATGTCTTTTTTCTTATCGCTCATTGTTATACTATCGTTATTAGCCGAGAACATAAAACATGTAAACGAATGTGTGCAAGAGTAAATACAATGATGTCATCTCACATGTTTAGTAAATAATCGAGCAATACATTTGTTTCAAAATCGAAATAATTTAAATCAATTGATATCTAATATTCATTTTTTATTTAAACACAAACTTCTACAATAATAGGCACATAAAATGATAGTAGAAAACAAAGTGTTTAGTATAGAAAAAGCAAAAATCTATATTATTTAATTCATTTAAAAATTAAAACTAACATCATCATTAAAAAGATTTGAAAAAAACTTTCAATATTTCGATAATCTAAATTAAAAAAAAACAAAAATTTGATAAAGAAAATATTTATAAATATGTATACTTTTTGTTGCAGAATTTCCAGCAATAAATGAACCACATGGAGCTGGAGCATTACCTGCTGGACCACATTTTGTAGTATAACTACTAAATTTTTGATCATCTGCACATTTAGCTTCACGCATTTTCTTTTGTGTAGTACATTGAAAATAAAAATGACAATCGCGTTCTATATCCGGATAAATACCATCACGTTTGCCGATACCTACGGTTGTATGATTAAAATCTCTTTTGATATGAATAAAAAGAAAGAAATTCTTACATTGATTTTTATTACTTAAAGAAAGTGATCTTGCTCCACAATTAACTCGTTCAGATTCTTTACATTCATATTTTTCAGTATCATATAATGTATTATCCGGACATGTTATTTTTGTTCGTATACCTTTGTCACATTGATAATAGCTATTACATTCATTAGGATCAGCTAATGAATAAATTCCAGTTGGTTGACATTCAATAGCTGGTGAACCTTTATTTTCATCTTTACCATCTACTATTGAAATAGTTGAAACTATTTTTCGATTTGAAGAGACAGAATTCGTATCAGATGTTTTACGTGATGTTGTTGTATCTATGAGGATTTTAAAAAAAAGCAAAATTTAATAAATAAAACATTAGAAAAAGAAACTGATATTAAAAATTGCATGCCTTCAGTAGTGGTACTTGTTGAATATCCTAATTTTTTTTTATCGCAATTCACTTCATCAACCCATGCACATGATTTTGTTATTTCATCCCATGCAGTGCCTTTTGGACATTCAAACATTTCATCAATTCCATGCGAACATCGATAATATCTCGTGCAATATTCAGGATGTCTAATAAAATTTACATGCTATTGTTTTTTCTCATTTGAAGAAGAAAGAAAAGTTCTTACGCAAAAAATCCATCACCACCAGCACAAAGAAAATCAGTAGATGATTTTGTTTGAAAAATAATTAGAAGAAAAACTGGAAGAGAAGTTTAACTCATATATATGTGTGTTTAAAATAAGAATAAGATTGCGCATGCACTACAAAATACTAATATACAAAATTGAAAGCTCACGATCATCGCCGTTTGGATCATCTTCTTTACTATTAGGAAGCTTCTTTTTTTTTGGATTTATTTTTCTAGATTTTTTCTTTTTAACAACAGTAGGTCGATCATTATTTTCATCACTATTGCCTACTGGATAATCTTGTGGATCCTCCTCTGATGATATTGCCTTTGCTGTTGTTTTTTCAGCACGTGAACAATCGACACTATCAAGCCAATTACAACGATTATCATGATGATCCCATGCTGTACCACTAGCACATTCAAATTCTTCTGATGTTCCATGTATACATCGCCAATAGATATGACAAAATTCGGGATCATAATACCAACCATCATCTTTGGCTGAACAATCATATTCAGCTAATATACTTTCGAAAAAAAAGTCAGCAAGAATAATGATGGCTAAGCCAAAACTAAAAGCTAAAATAAAATATTAAGAAGAAGCTTTCTAACGATTATCTATAAGCGATAGATATAAATGCTATTTATTCTTAAATTTTTCTTACCAGTAAGAAGAAAAGTATCCTTAAAAATCATGATCATTTTTAATAAAAAAGATTATCAAATGGTCACGAACAATTTCTTTTTTTCTATCTCGTTGTACTCGAATATTAACTAAACGTGAGATAATAGTATTCAACGTTTACTTACTATTACAAGGTTTTTGATGATGATTTAGCAGTTGCATATTTTCAATATTTTCATTCTTGAGGTGTTTTATTGTTCAACAATTGACAAGAAAAAAAGATAAGAATGTCAAACGATAAAATACAAAAAGAGAAGAAATGAGAAACGACACCGAATAATCCTTAGTCAAAGAATGAACCGATTTATTTATATTAATCTGCCTCGTTCGGCAGGAAGATTTTCTTTAGAGAAAAGGTCACATTCTTCTTTTACTTTTTCGTTCAATTTTTATCCTTTGTTAACCGTCTGACATTCATATGTTCGTAAAAATCAATAATTTCAAATCTAATCAATCGGTATAAAAGATTTTCTGTACTTTGGAATCTGAAACAGATATATTTTCCAAGAGACGTGTCCTATTAATATATAGGTTTTTACTTTCATTGATTCCAAAAACACTGCTCATATCATAAATACTTTTGACAGTAACGGATTTAGAGGGGGCAATCACACCCCTCACCCTTCCGATTTTTTTTTTTTTTTTTTACAGCAAAAATAGGTTCACACTACTTCGGTTGGACTCAAAAAATAGCTTTTAACCAAAATCGCCCCCCCCCCTTTCAAAATCCTAGATCCGCCACTGGCTTTTGAATTATACCAAAACTTTTTTCGTTTATAATTATCTTTGCCAATTTCTGTATTTAACAATAACAAGCCTATATACAAAAAAGAATTGTAGTCTGGCATTCATCGGCATCTCTTTCTATTTGCTTTTGTATCATTGGTTAGTTGTTCAACCAACTAGATAAAATCTCTATGATTATTTTTTTTAGCAAAACACTTTTTTCTTTTTACCACATTATCATCATATACAAACCTGTGTAACATTATTTTTTTTCTCCTCTTCTATTTTACCGTTTTATATAATTATTATTAATATTTGATCGTTATGCTCTATCACCTTTTATATTTTTTCTAGTTTGCGCATTTTTATACTACTAATATTCATGGCTCAGACACCTAACGAAAACGAAGCTTTAGTTCGTCGTCTTAGTAATGATATTAATCAATTTAAAACTAGTCATCATTTACCTGATGATCTTGAATCGAGTATAAATTAATATTTTTTATCTTTCATTTAAAAAAATTTCCGTTGTTTTTTATTGAATAGTGACTGGAGCAATAAGTCATCTTCAAAAACAAGCTCAAGAAGTCATGCGTCAAAAACCAACATGGTTATCGTATTTCCAAGGGCAAATGATTACGAAAGAAGATTATGATTTTATTTCGAATTTTGATCAATTAAATGCCGAAGGTCGAGCAAAACTTTTATCTGATCCCAATTCAAGAAATCAAGTAATTTGAAAATATTAATAAAAAACTTTCAATTTTATTTTTATTATTCTAGTGTGCAAAAACATTTTTAACATTAATGGCAAAAGTTTATAAACAACAAACACTTCGATATTTATTAACATTGATGGATGAATGTCTTCGAGTAAATATCTTTAAAATACAAAAATTAGAATTATTTGTTTTTTTCTTTTATATAGGAAGATAAAAGTCGTGTCGAAATATTTAATACATATGCTAGAATGAAAAAAGAACAATTATGGTCATATTTTTTCAATATGTTTGCTAATCAAGATCAATTCGTTGTCTATCAGGTAGGAAATAAAATCCTTTTTGTTTTTAAATTTTCGTTGTAAATGTAATTATAGACAAGTCGAATTATTGCTAAACTTGCTTGTTGGAGTGTTGAAAGAATGCCAGCATCGGATTTATCATATTATTTAGCATGGCTTAAAGAACAACTGAAACCACAAGTATCTCTTATTTTATAGTTTATTGATTATATCAAATATTCATTTTTTAGGGTAATGAATATTTACAAAGTGTTTGTCGAAGTTTACAAATGATGTTACGTATTGAACAATATCGTGAAGCATTTGTTGCTATTGATGGTATTCCAAGGTAGATTTAAAATCTATAAAAGAACTTTTGTATAAAAATAGTTTTTTTTCAGTATTATGCAAGTATTAAATAATGCATCCGTTGGTTTTCAAGTCCAATATCAATTGACATTTTGTTTATGGGTACTTACATTTAATACTAATATTGCTGCCATTATGTCTAAGTTAGTTAAGAGAATTTTTGTTAAATAGAAATTAATTGAATATGTTTCTAGATATACTGTTATTCCACGTCTTGCAGAAATTCTTGCTGAAAGTCAAAAAGAAAAAGTAACACGTATGATTGTTGCATTTTTACGAGTAAGTTAAACTATTCTATAGTCGTATCCATCCATTGCTTTTTTATAGAATCTACTTGAAAAACCGGAAAGTGATAAAGTTATTCGTGATAATGCTATGACTATGATTGCATGTAGACTTGTTAAACCATTAGAATTACTTAGCAATAAGAAATTTGATGATGATGATATCAATGAAAATATAATATTTATCAAAGAAAAACTTGAAGGAAATTTAGCAGATGTCACGTAAGTTATATGAAAAGTGATAGAATTTTAAGATTATTTTTTAATTTAATTTTAGATCATTTGATGAATATGCAGTAGAAATTCGATCAGGTCGACTTTCATGGACACCGGTTCATCAATCTGAAAAATTTTGGGTTGAAAATGCAGCAAAATTAAACGAAACAAACTTTGAATTATTGAGGTACGCGGGAAAGAAAAATATTTTTTTCTTATCACAATACAGTATCTATAGAACTGCCCGAAGGAAATTTTTTTATAGCACATCTATCTTCTCAATGATAAAATTACACATTTGATTGATATCTTTATATGAATTTTTTAGAATGCTTCTTCGTTTACTCGAACAAAGTAAAGAACCATTGGTTTTATGTGTTGCTGCTCATGATGTTGGAGAATATGTTCGTCATTATCCTCATGGAAAAAAGTATGTTCAATTAAATATTCTTTTTTGAAAAAGAAAAACAATAAAATTTTTAGAGCCATCGATAAACTCGAAGGCAAAGTTATCATCATGCGTTTATTAGAAAATCCTGATTCCAATGTTCGTTATCAAGGTCTACTCTGTGTTCAAAAATTAATGGTTCACAACTGGTAAGTTAAAAATATAAAAAAAAGAATAAACGAAATTGATCATAAAATTCAATTAAAATATATTGTCGAATTCATAGGCAGATGGCAGACCTTTTAATAAGGAACAGATAAATTATGGCGTAGGGACGCATGTGTGCTCATGTTTTTATTCTTATATTTTTTTTTGGCATTTTTAATGAATAACGCACTTTAATCCTTCTTCTTGCGTGTGCCTTATTTCTTTTTTTTTGATAACTGAAACAAACAAATACTTCTGTACAATATTTATTATTTTCTTTTCATATATTTTAGGGATTATCTTGGTAAACAAGCAGATGCGAGTGCAGGAAATAATAGCAATTCGACAAATAACACATTAGGACAACGACCGGTGGAATCACGAGCTTGATTTTCGACAAACAAAACAAAAAATATTTTATTTAATAACTTCCAGATAATGTGCAATTGTATTCCTTTCTTTTATGTATACGTTACGTGATTGTCATTCTTTTCCAATGTATCTAAAAAATTTAATTATTATATTCATTTATGTATTCCTTATTTCAAAATATAGATTGAGTTCATGATCGAATGATTCCATTCAATATCACTTTTATTTAAATTCTGCATCACTGAAACTTTTTTCTTTTGAAAATGATTCATTTGATTATTATTGCATAGAGGAAAAAAAGTGGAGGCAGTGGGGATTGAACTCACGGCCTATCGCATGCGAAGCGATCGCTCTACCACTGAGCTATGCCCCCGTATGCGGCTGATTATGAAAACATCTTATTCAATCTTTTCATCATTTGTAATTTTATTGTCAAAATAGTAGAACTTTGTCTATTTAGTTAAAGATAGATGAGTGTTGATTTAACATGGCGTTCTTCCTTATGCAAATGCAAGATTTTTCTTTTTTTTGTTTGTCGCACACAGCGGCGTAAATAGGGTGAGGCGCGGCACTCTCCCCTGCTTCCGAAAACTAATAGGAAAAAAGGGGTTTATGCCCCCCTACTCTGACACCTGACTTACGCCCCTGGTCGCACATTGAATTGATCAATATATCAAAGATTATATCTAATCATCATTCATTATATATTTTTTCTTGCATATAATTAAACTAAAATAGTCTCTTTTTTTCTAATTGATCGAGACACGGTGTTTGTTTTGCCTAATAATATAATGCCGAACTAAACGAAAACAACGATTACAACAAACGAGAAAAAAAACAGAAGACAGTGAGTTGATACTAAAGAAAAGAACACTATTGAAAAATTGTCTATTTATTTTGTTGTTCTTTTTGATCTTTATCTTTATCTTTATCTTTATCGTCATCAGATGATTGTTGATCCGATGATGATGATGATGAGCTACTTGATGAAGATTGTGAACTTTCACGATCAGATTGCATCTAAATATCAAAGAGAAAAATATTTTTCAAAAAAATAATAAATCTATGACATTTATACCTTTTTATATGCAGTTTCGAATAATTTCAAACTTTGTCGTTGAAATTCATCAGCTGCTTCTTTAACACTTTGAACAGATTCGCTATCTTTATTTGATAATTTTTCACGTAATTTTGAAGCACCTTCTTTTAGTTTTGAATACTATAAAAAAACAACAAAAATAATTTTACATAAAATTTTTCATTTATTTTTCTTTACTTCGTCAGATGGTAATTGATCTTTGTATTCTTCCATTTTTGATTCTGTATCATGTAAAATGGATTCAACACGATTAATTTCTTCAATCATTTCACGACGTTTTTTATCATCAGCTGAATGTTTTTCAGCTGCACGTACCATATTTTCAATATCATCTTTACTTAAACCACCACTCGATTGAATAGCAACTAAAAAATAAAATTTACTAATTACTCAAATGTATCATTTATTTCGTACTTTGTTGTTCTTTTCCAGTACCACGATCACGTGCGGATACATGTACAATACCATTTGCATCAATATCAAATGTTACTTCAATTTGTGGAACACTAATAAAAAAAACTGTACATTTCGATATAAGTTTTGTAATCCTTCTTACCCTCGTGGTGCTGGTGGAATACCGATCTATAAAATGAAAAATAAAAAAAGATGATTAATTTCTTAATAAAATTAAACTTACTAAATTAAATCTTCCGAGCATTTTATTGTCAGAAGCCATTTCACGTTCACCTTGATGTACTTTAATTTCTACTTGTGTTTGTCCATCAGCAGCGGTAGAAAATACCTAGTTAAAGATAGGAATTTATTAATTAAGTTTATATGATATTTTTTGTATAACATACTTGACTTTTCTTTGTTGGAATAGTTGTATTACGATTAATAAGTTTAGTAAAAACTCCACCTAATGTTTCAATACCCAATGAAAGAGGTGTAACATCAAGAAGAAGAAGATCAGTAACATCACCACCGAGTACACCACCCTATATAACAAAAAAAAAAAGAGAATTAATTGAAATAAACATCAATTGAAAATTATACTTGAATAGCAGCACCCATAGCAACAGCTTCATCAGGATTAACAGATTTGTTTGGTTGTTTACCAAAAAGTTCTTGGACAGTTTGTTGAACCTGAAAAATAAAATATTTAAAAGAAAATAGATAAATCTATTGCTTACTTTAGGCATTCGACTCATACCACCGACGAGAATAACTTCATTGATATCTGATACTTTAACATCAGCATCCTTAATAGCTTTTTTACATGGTTCTAAACATATATGAAGATAAGTTTTTGTTTTGAAAGAAAAGTTTTTCATTCATACCAATTGTTCGTTTAATTAAACCAGATACAAGATTTTCAAATTGTGAACGAGTAATTTTATAATTCATATGTTTTGGACCAGATGCATCCATTGTTAAATAAGGTAAATTAATATCAGTCTTAATAGAAAAAGATAATTACATTCATTTATTTATATAAAATAAATTTTACTTGAGCAGCAGATGATAATTCACATTTAGCTTTTTCAGCTGCTTCTCTTAAACGTTGCATAGCTTGTGGATCTTTTGTAATATCAAGGCCACTCTAAAAATTAAATTTTTTAAAAACGAACGTTTTTTTATAAATCTATAATACATACTTCTTTTTTAAATTCAGCGACAAGATGTTTAAGTAATGTATTATCAAAATCTTCACCACCTAAAAATGTATCACCATTTGTTGAACGTACTTCAAATACATTTGATTGCATTTCAAGAATTGAGATATCAAATGTACCACCACCGAGATCATAGACAGCAATACTAAATCAATCATATTTCTTATTAGATAAAGAATTCTTTCTTATTTTTACATTTTATCATTCGTTTGTTCAAGACCATAAGCAAGTGCAGCTGCTGTTGGTTCATTAACAACACGAAGAACATTTAAACCAGCTATTTGACCAGCATCTTTTGTTGCCTAAAAATAAAATTCAATTTATTATCTTAAAGTTTTATCTTCTATTTAATTTACTTGTCGTTGTGAGTCATTAAAATAAGCAGGTACAGTAACAACAGCATTTTTAACTGGTGAACCGTAATAATTTTCAGCAGTTTCTTTCATTTTCATTAAAACGAAAGCACCAATTTGACTTGGAGAATATGTTTTACCATTTGCATCAACCCATGCATCACCATTTGATGCACGAACAATTTTAAATGATACACTTTGCCTATTTAAAATAAAATCATGAAAATTTTCTTAAGTTTTAAACTTTGAATTTACATTTCTTTTTTAACTTCATCATCATTAAATTTTCTTCCTATGAGACGTTTTGTAGCATAAAATGTATTTTGGGGATTGGTTACTGCTTGACGTTTAGCAGGCATACCAACAAGACGTTCATTATCTTTTGAAAAAGCAACAACTGATGGTGTTGTTCGCATACCTATTTTATTATTATTATTATATTAGTAAAAATATGAAAGATTTTTGATTAACAAACCTTCAGCATTTTCTAATACTTTTGGTGTTTTTCCTTCCATTATAGCAACACATGAATTAGTGGTACCTAAATCAATACCAATGATATGTCCTTTAACTTTACCACCACCACCGGTATTTTTAGATACATCTTTTGAATCACTAAATTATAATTCTTTATAGATAAAAATTAAAGATTCAATATACAAATATACCTTTTATGACGAAGACTTTGTGCTTGAATTGAAGCCTATAATAAAATAATTGATTTAGAAAAAAGAGTAAAAGAAAAATAACTAATTACTCGAATTAATGATGATTGTTCATGGCTAATTCGTGGAGTTAAATGTTTTAAACATGCATCGAAAACTCGTCGTTGAACAAACATATCTTTTGTTATTTATTTAGAATGATAGAAATAGATCTGAAATATAATATGAATGAATAGATCGTTATTTTTTTGTATTATATAAGTGAAAGTACATTTCTGATGCAATGTGCACTGCATATACTATAGTTACATAATCAGTATTTTACCGTATTAAGTTTGATGGAATATACTGGAACAAGAAAAGATGAGAATTTCAAATTACATATGATACTTATTTATATATGAGTTTGAAGGATATTATTGAAACAAACATATCGAGGGATATTGGAATTCTTTAAATAACAAAAAAATAAATAATAAACAAATAACCTGATAATGATTCCTCCATCCTCCTCCATCAGAATATTTACTTGGATTCAGAGTACTTCATAAACTATGAAGATGTCGTTCGATACCGACTGATTAATTGAAGTCAAAATATTCGATAGTCGATCAAACGACTATAGTATTTCTTTGGTAGATGTATCTCAAATAAATAATTTATACTTACGACTGACGTATGTTGAATGAACCGTGTGTTTCGACAAAAAGAACTCTTTGATTTTATATAAAACACGTAGAATATTCTAACAGACACATTCTCTGCGTTTATTTATATGAAATTTAAATGTAGTCATTTATCCACGAAAAAATTGTCGAATAGAAAATGTTGTCTTAGTTTGATTATTCTCCTTTTCAATATGAACACAATCGATAGGTATGCAGAGCTTCAGGTCAATAGCCAAAACAGAACGCATTTAATGAAAAAAACAGTATATATTCATTTATTTTTTTCTGAAACAAATAAAAATAATATAATTCATTTTTTATGTTTCGAATTTTATATCGTTATATATAACATGTCATTCTATGAGAAACTGGCAAGAGTAGCACCAGCACCAACATATTCCCAATGCCATGGTTCTGATTGAACAGTACGTTTGAATCCATATTTAGCACCATTTTTATACAACCATTGATAAACTTTGCTTCCACCACAATTAGGTTTAGCACCTGATTGTGAACCACAGTCGGTGTTTAAGTCAAGAGCAATACCTTTACCATGATTTGATGTACCTGGTCGAGCAGCTAAATTACCATTATTACAGCTCTTAGTTTGATAACAATTCCAGAAATATTCTTGACGAGCAACTGTACGAAAACCAGAAGCAATTTTAATAGCAACACCTGCTTGTTTAGCAGCTGCAGCCATCTTATCGAAAGCACAAGCTGTTGTAGTCGTCATTGTATTATCTGCTGCCGTAGGAGCAGCTGTGTGTATAGCAGGATTAGTAAGATGTTCAGTACGTATTTTAACTACTGAATAAGCCACATTACCATTACCTTTAATTGAACTAACAGCAGCGCCAGCATAGCTTCCACAGAGTCCATTAGCAGAACCTGATGCACCACCACTAGCAACACAACACTGAATACTAGCAGCACCAGGACAATGACCAGCTACGGCTGTGCCTGCACAGGCTGATGTAGCAACACAGGATCCACTCTTGCCATTTGCTGTGCAACTGGTTCCCGTTGGGATGCAACATTGATTGTTTGCAGCGCCGGGACAATGACCAGCAACTGATTTACCTGTACATGAAGTAGTTACTTTGCAAGTACCCTTCACATGATTAACTGTACATGCTGTTTGTGCTGATACAGCTACAGATCCAACAACGAGTAGACAGGTGAATGTGAATAACATAGTTTTTCACTTGATGTGCAAGCAAATGATTATATTTAGTTCTATCAAAAGAAGGCACATTTATATAGATTGTCGATTGTTTTTGTTTTAATATCAAATTTCACTCTTACAAAAATAGAATTAAGAAAAAATACATTAGAAATTTGATAGATAATGGAAGTGGGTGTTATCTTGACGATAAATAAAGATCAAAAGTCAATATTTTTTAGCTTTAACATGTTGATTGCTTCATGAGAAAAAAATAACACTTGTGTAAGCCCTTTTTTATTATTTTTATATGATATATAGAAAATACGAATAAATATTCTCATGTTATCTACAGAGTCAATCTATTTTTATTGTCTTTTATTTTTCAAGACTTGATCATCTTACGAAAGCTTCTAATAATATGGAATCATAATTGATTAAGAATTTAAATTTATATACACAAATAACAGATCATGTTATAAAATATTCTTTCTATTTTGAATGATTTTGAGTGCTTTTTCTTATACGGAAATCGAATATCTCAAGTTGATATAAAATAAAATATTTATTTCATTTTAATCTATCTATAGTGACAGATTATGCTCATATATCTTTATTAATGCTTAAAATAGAAATAAATATTGCAAACGATATTGAAATACAATTAATTTTGAATCGATTACATATTAAAATAATAAAACTATATTTTCAAACATTCATGTTTTTTTTATATCAATACTTATTAGACAACATTCCATTGTTTATATCAATTTAATTATTATTTGTTTCTGTATGTAATATTAATCTAATAATTTTTTTTTATTCAGATCAATGTTTTTTTAAATGCTTTAAAATATCTATAGACATATGTATTTCTTATTTTAGTGTGTATTGCAACTTTCTATTAAGCTTCATTGTATAAAATCAATATTGAAGTTATATTTAGTCTTTTCATTAGAAAAGCAAAGATTTTTATTTCAAAAACTATTCATCAATTTTTCACATTATGTCATATTTTATTACATTTTATGAAAAACTAGCACGACGAACACCAGCTCCACGAAATTCCCAATGCCATGGTTCAGAAAAAACTGTACGGGTAAATCCGAATTTAGCACCATTTTTATACAACCATTGATAAACTCGACTTCCACCACAATTTGGTCTTGCACGTGTTTGTTTGCCACAATTAGTATTTAAATCAAGTGCAATACCTTTACCATGATTTGATGTACCTGGTCGAGCAGCTAAATTACCACCATTACATCTCTTAGATGTATAACAATTCCAGAAATATTGTTGACGAGCGATGGTACGAAAACCAGAAGCAATTTTAATTGCTACACCAGATTTTTTAGCAGCGGCAGCCATTTTATCAAAAGCACAAGCAGTTGATGTTGTCATTGTATTATCGGATGCTGATGGTGAAAGTGAATATGAACCTGGACTAGCAAGATGTGTTTGTTTAATTTTGACTACTGAATAACCCTTATTGCCATTGCCTTTAATGGATCTAACAGGAGCTTTTGCATAAGTTCCACATCTACCACTGGTACTTGGTTTACTACCAGCAGCACTTGGTTTACTGCCACCAGTACTTGGTTTGCTGACTGTTTTAGGAATACAGCATTGATTGCTTTTTGCACCAGGACAATGACCAGCAACAGATGTACCTTTACAAGCTGATGTGAGTTTACATGTTCCACTTTTACCATTAGCTTTACATGCTGTTGCTCGAACTGAAATAAAAAAAAGTTATCTATATAGGAGATTTCTAAATATTTTATTAGATGTTTTCTACAGACAAAAATTTAGGAGATCAATCGATAAACTAGTTTTAATCTTCGTATGAAATAATATGCCTACCTACTATGCAATCAAAAGTTAGTATGACTAAAAATTTCTAACCTGTGTTTCGTCGATGTCTTCGTATCGTTGATTCTTCTTCGTCTTCTTCTTCTTCTTCACTTTCTTCTTCTTCAGGTGCACCAGCAAATGGATCTTCATCAAGATCAATTTCTCCATAGAGTCCTTGTTCCTTTCGTTGAAGTTCATCTAAATTAACTTCAGATGGATCAGGAAATCCATCAGCTTCAGTTTCTTCTTCTTCTTCTTCTTCTACACTATCTTCAGGATCGTATATTTGTATATCTTCTAATTCTTCTTCTGTAACTTCTTCATCTGGAATCTCTGCACACAACCATTCTCGAGGACAATCTGGTCGACATTGTGAAAACCAAACTGAACGTGGTTGACAAGGATAGTCAGCACAAGCAGTTGGTCCCTTCCATCCTTCTCCACCACATTGTTCCCAATTAGGTGCAACAGCAGTATCCTCATCATTTGTTTCAGAATAACTTTCAGGTAAAGCACATTCCCAATCACGACTTGGACATGATGTTTGACATGATGAAAACCATTGATTTCGTCGAAAACATTTCAATGGCCAATTACATTCTGTAGATCCTGTATATCCTTGACCACCACATTGGTCATAGAGGCCTACCGATGAAACGATAGGCACAAGAACGAATAGTAAAATTGAAGCCCAATACATTGATAAAATCACTGGTATAAGTGGAAAACTGTATCATATATGTAAAGAAAATCTAGCTGATTTATATACCGTATAATTAATTTTCTTTATTTAATATCAAATTTCATTATAAAGAAATACGAAAACAATCTTAAAGGCTTGATCTAGTTTTTATTTTATTTTCTATTAATACTTTTGAAATTAAATCTTTCGAAAAACCAGGTAGATTTTATTATTGTTGCATTCATCAAAAATTGGATATTTGCCAACAAAATACAATGAATCGATATCATTTGCAATCACTAATTCATAGGATAAGCATTTTATTTTATCTTAATATTATATAATATCAAATTTCATTTCGATTGAAGTCGTCGATATTCTACTGGAACGATGCTGATTGCAATTTCGAAAAAAAATATTTTTGTCACTTGATTCATATTTTTTGAAATTATTTTTTTTTAATTGCTTTCAGAAATATTTTTATCACCTGCGAAGAAAAAAAGAAGCATTGTTTTTAAAGTTCATTGAACTTTAATGATCTTTTCTTTCTTTAATAACCTCATTAATATTAATGTATGAGCCTTAAGAAAAAGAAGAAGATATGAAACACAAGAAATAAAAATAAACGATAAACTTCTATATATAAATGAAAGCAGATATATATATCGATTACTAACACTGATGAACGTAAATCAAGCTAAAACAGTATCTCTGTTGATTGATGAGCTTTTCTTATCTCTATGTCTATCATGTGGCAAGTGTTCTCTTCCTCTTTACTTGATGTGATTGAATTTAGCTATTTCTCTTTCTCTCTCTTGAGTTTCTTTTTTATTCCATATGGTTCAACTAAACAAAAGAGAGAAAAAAAGATCGCAACAGATCATTGATTATTTTACTTGTCCGCAACGGGAGAGCGAACACAAGCAATAATAATGACGAGACTAATAATCGGAAATAAATTGTCGATTCCGCCGCTGTTGTGTGTACGCTCATATAAGATCAAACAAATCTAAAAAAATGAATAACACATGTGTTGAAAGTTGACTGCCCTGATTGCGATTGACCATTGGCTACCTCGAAATAAATAAATGAATGCATGCATGCACGTCAAACAAGAAGAAGATGCGCTTATGCTCGAGGGTATTCTTTCATAGTTTATAGATTTTAATCAATCACAACTGTATAGTCTTATCCATATGAAAAATCCCTGTGACATATACTCAAACAATTACAATGACTATAGCCACAGAAGATGTCAACCAGAAAGGTGTAAATGGAGAAAGTAGTACGTCAGCTGGACTAGTTAATGTCAAATGGATAATAAATATAGCGAACGACTGGTTACTAAGTGTTCATCCACTCGACTTGATATGAGATGATGAGAAAGTAAGACACATGGAGCGTTGAAATTAGATGAATAAAAAATCAATTTCCTTACATTGTGGTCATACAAGTATAGTCCATTCGCATACAGCCTAGAGGTCTAATCAGAATAAGGAAGAGGAGTTTTTTTATGTTATTCTTTCAATTAAACTATCTATTCGAAGTGAACGATTTTACGCCCATCTGGGAGCTTCTCTCCCCAAGATACAAACAGCAGAACCAAATAAAAAAGAAATGAAATAAAATCTTCTAGTCTTTCATCCATACAATGACCATTAACTATATACATCAACAGCATTGTCGACTAATTAGACAATATTGAGTTCAAGCATATCGTTCTTTCTTCGACCACCAGATGTATACTTCAACGCATGATCAATATTAGTCGTTCTATGTGTACACTATGATATATCTATTAGTCATTCAAATAAAATATTTTTCTTCTTTTTTTTTGTTTTCACTATAGAGAAAGAGACATGATCAATGAGGCGAAACGATGAAAAGAGAAAAAATAAGAAAGAATAAATGATTCGAACATATATTTGTACAATTTTGTTCGATCTTAGACTAACACCATCACGTTTCTCTATAATTTGATTGAGGTGCGCGTGTGCACACTAACAATCCAAATCAAATATTTGAGTCCATGCGTCCAACGCGTCGAAGATCAACACAAAAAAAATGTAAGGGTTGCGGTTTGTATGAGTTAGACGACGGCGACGAGGACGGCGTATCATTCACCATTGTCAATATGAATAAACATATGAGTAAGAAAGGTGCATATAAGGATCAAATATTCGATTAACTTTGATATATCTATCATAGTGTGAGCATCATTGTTTCTCTTATTTTTTTTTCTTCTTTTACTCATATCGATTAGTCACTACATATATATCTAGTGCTGAATCGGACGTGACACAATAGAGCAAGAGAAAAAAAAACGTACGAAGAAGCTCGTCAGCTTTTTTTTTACTTGCTAGCGTTTCTGAGGAAAAAAATGTTTGATGCCAGAGAAAGAAGGAAAAAAAAATAGTGAGGACCAATAGGAAATTTTTCCTCTCATCTATATATATGCGTAATATAGTAACATAGCAAGAGAAAAAACACCAATGACTGTTAGAACATATTATTTTTAGATTTAATCGAACATGGGTAATGATAAGCAATTTGTTGAACAACTGCCACCGCGGTTTATTGATCCAGCAACAGCAGCAACAACAACACCACCACCAACTGTAACTAAATCAACTAAAGATGGTATTATAGCTTTTCAAACACCGGTCGAACCTATCGAAAGTCGTCAAACACTTCTTGACGAACAAAAAATTTCTACGAAAACTCGTCGTTCGCCTTCATCAACATTTCTATCAGCCGATAAAATATTTGCTTTAGCTCTCTTTGTTTTATTAATTATTCTTATTACGTATATACTATTTCATGGTAAAATAACTGATGTTAAATTAAGTCGTTTAACAAATAATGCAGATTTAAAATCGAATGATTTTCGATCGATACTTGAAGAAATAGATCGTACACTAAAATCAATCGAACGTCTACTTATTGAACAAACGAAAAAACCAACTATTAATATTCAATTAAATGGACAAGATGTACGAGAATTTTATTCAAATCAGACTGTATTAAATGAATTTCTACGTCGCTATAAAGAACGCCTATAAATCAAATTTTTTTTTCAAAAAAAAGAATAATGCAATCAATTTTATTGTCTTCTCTATCCCGGCTTTATTCAAAATCTTGTCAGTACGATTTTTTTTCATGTGTTTTTTTTTAATTTATATGCATACGAACAACTTGTATGTTATAAAGTTTTTCTTTTGTTTGAGAAAAAAAAAATATATATATAAGCTCTTATGAGTTTTATGTATGATTTAAAATGATAGCGTGTAACTAAAAAAAATGAAGCCTATATATACATATACGATGATTAATTCGGCCTAAAGCAGCATGTGTAATGAGTGTCCCCGTCTCGTTTCATTTACTTAGTATAGTACAGTCACGCATGTATACTGTTGAAAGAAAGAAACAAAAAATTGATAGGAGTGGTTCAACATCTGTTTTCATCTAGAGAAAGGGAAGAATTAATTTCCTCTAACATGAAGTGTGATAGTCATTCAGACACATTGACTTTAGTTCAAATAGAAGAATGAAAAAAAAAAATGGACAAAGAATATACCTTTAATACATATATGGTTTTAATAGAGTAAAATTTTCAAAGTGTAAATATTTAATATGAAAACACAATTCAGAGTTTTATAAAACTGTATTAAATAATATTTGAATTCGTATTATATTCAAATACATTACTATTACATAATAATAACAATTTTGTTCTCTCTCTCTTATAAAAAAAACACAAATCACACTTAATATTCTTACAACTCTATTTATTCACTTGCATGTGATCATTTTCTCCCATTGTATTTCATTCTGCAATTCATCATTTTATCAGAACAGGTGTCAATTATCTATTTTTTTTTTGTTTATTGATAAAATACATTTACAGAATAGATTTTTTTGTTCTGTATAGACATGTACTCCCATAATAATGAAGATTAATCCATAGTTTTATTATAACCATGATATGATCACGTTTTTTTGTTTCTCACAGATATTTTCTTTCCATTAACAATTTTTCTTAGTATCCGTAAAATAGACAAGGAAACAAGCTCTTATCCATCTTCCTCGACAGGACTATATACAAATATTCATATGGCAAGAACAGAGTGAACGTTCATCGTCATTTCATATTGTTTCTATTACGTAAATAAATTTTTGGCAAAAGATACCCAGGGCATGAAATCATACGTCAAGATCAGACCTGATCATACAAAAAATCGTCGTCTCTGAGTTCTTACAGTAAGACTGACAAGCAGATCCGTACACAAAAAGTATTAGACAAAGCAAAAACTATAAAATAATAAGAAGAATAGTGAACCACATTTGTGCAAAGAAACAGAATCAAACAACAACTAATAAACAAAGAAATTGAATAAATAAAGTTTTTTTCGCTTTCAAATCTCCACGAAATAGAACTAATGTATATATGTAGGAGTTATTCAACTAAATCATCAACTTCATAACGTTTCACAAAAAACTTTTCTTGTTTAACAATTTCTACGTATTTTCAAAGAAAATATATATGAATACATATAGAAATTAAAACCTTTTAGTCTTTATCTACATGAATAATACATATAGGAACTAAAACTTTTTAGTCTTCATCTGTATGAGTAATATATATAGGAACTAAAACTTTTAAGTCTTCATTTATATGAATATATATGTAGAAATTAAAATATTTTTTTCTACATCTATACGATTCATCAACTGTTGTTGTTGAATTATTGAATCACATTTCTACAAAATATACAGAGTTTTTGTTGAAGTTTTTTTTGTTGTTATTTATTGACTTTGGCTGGTACCTTTACCATTTATAACATAAAAATCTATGTGTTTGAAGGTATTTGTGCAATATAAGATCTTAAAAAATAAATGCAGAGCGTGCTATTATACGATGACGTATATGTTCTTCTCAAAGTCAGTTTCCAGATAGTAATTTTCTAAACTATGTCGAGATCTCATCAATGAATCACTCTGCTAACTAAATGGTTAATGTGAAATAGTATTTTTCAAAGTTTAAAGCTGACTTGCGAAGTTAATAACATCGAACAGCATTTTATCTAGCGAAATAGTACCTGTTTCCTCCATTTTATTACAACGGAATCAGATTTTTGATCAATGTCATGAAAAGTAGAAATCTTGTATGAACAGATCATATCTAACAAGAGCTATTCAGATAGCTCTCATACAATTCTTGTTTTCAGAATCTTGTGTAATTTTTGCTGCAGTCTTATAAAAAATCAGGAAACAAGGTGATATAAGATCCAACGCTATGATCATACGAAAAATCGTGTATGGATACGGTCTTGTATATTCTGATGTCTGGTTTTTTTCACCTGGGTTGTATAAGGTTTTTAAGTATACATAACCGGTAAGTAAAGGTTATGATGATCGAATTATAGATATATGTCATATATCAGCTGATTCTCAGTACATTAACGTTATACCTTTATATAATGAGTCATATATTAGTGATCATCAATAACGTTTTTCAAGGACAGAATATATTTTTGTTAAATTACATGGAAGTAGATAGCATTGAAGATAAGAATATTCATCTGTTGACAAAATCTGAAGAATTTTTTCGAAAATTATTCATAGTCTTAGAAAATATCGTCTTCTTTACACTCTTCATGCGAAACAAAAAACCTTGATGATTGCATATAAATCTGCTTTTTTAAAATCTATGAAGATTTAATTTCTATTCCAACATATGCATTACTTATGTAATAATTTTTGATCAGAAGTAATCAATAGTGTATGTTATTTGAATATACTTTGGTAATCTAATGGAACTTATGTACTAAAAAACTATACTTTTGTGATAAATCTAATAAATTCAAACAAACGATTGTTTTTATTTTTATTTCAATCAAATTTAGATACACTAATAAAAAAAGGGTATTTTCCTAGAACATATATTTTGAAAAACAACTATCTAGTTCACTTGAACAGATTGTCGTGTTTTGTCATCTTGAGGATGTTGAGTATCATCGTTGTTTGTACCGATTAGATGAAGTTCATCTTGTTGTTGTTGTGTTTCACCTGCTTCTAAAAGTCCAGCTACAGTTTCTATTTCATAATTAATGCCTTCTACTAAACATCCAGGTACATTTTCTTCAAAGATCATAGCTGCTGCTTCTTTACCATCGAATGGTGGAAGATTATAGAGACGTAATCTTTTCAATGATCTATAATAAAACTTAATTTGAACATATTCAAAAAACAAATTATATATATACTTAAGACGAGTAAGTGCAAGTAATCCAGTAACTCCTACGGAAGGACATTCACTTAAATCAAGGAATAACAATTGATCATGAAATTCATGAGCAAGTCTAGAAAGAAACCAGTCGTCAACATAACGACATTTAGTTAGATACATTGCTTTAATATTATCACAACCAACTAAAATAATCAAATAAAAAAAAACACTTGTATGAGTATATATTCTAATCCTCATACCTTCATATTTACCTACCATAATGATCTAATCCATCGATATTAATAGATGTTTGCGAAAGATCAACAGCTTCTAATTGAAAATTTAAATTAAGTGCTAATGTACCTCGTGGTTTTTCTAATCGAGTTATCCATTTCTGTCGGCCATTCATTCGAAATCTTCCACTATATTCAATTGTTCGAGAAGCTGCGTAAACATCAGGTCCTTGTTCAAAAAAATCTTTTTCACAATATCTATATATTATTATAAAAATATTTAATAATCAATATAAATCATTAATATACTCATTCCGTTTTTGATAATTACGCATTAATATTGTTCGTTTTAAAAAACCTGGTTCATTCGTACGAGCTTTATATGATTGAATAAGATCAACAATAGAACGAGATTTTCCTGGAATTTCTAAATTTGATTTTGTTAACCAATAAGGTTTTTTTCTTGGTAATCTTTCTAAAAATATTAACTTTTCATTTCATATAAAAACATTTTTTTCTACAATTTTACCTTCCGTAACATTCTTTAAACTTCTTAATATTAATGATAATCGCATTGAATTAATTATTATCTCATCTAGAATAAGTTATTAAGTTCAATTTCGGTCAGATTTCAATAACAAGCACACACAGAAAAAACAATTGTACATAATAAATGGCATATAACAAAAAAAGAATTCTCGCATTAAAGTGTTTCTAGCATAGACCGGGGACTTTGACTTTCCCATTCTTGATTGACTACCATTAACCAAGGTGTTACATTTGTCGATAATATTCGTTCAATACCTTGAAAAGATTTACAATCTGGATCATGACATTTTTGTCGATATGTTCCTTTACGCATGTCAACGACAAAACTAAATATAAGAAGGCAATTGAAATTCTTTTAATAAAAAAAGTTTGATTTACTAAATATTATTATTTTTATGATGACGTTCAATTCGTTCACAATATTTATAATCTCCAGCATACATAAAATTTATTTCCCATCGAAAATCATTTTGAACTTCTTTTCCTTTATACAAACGACTTGCACGATATGTATTATCATTCTTATTTTGATCTCGTGCAATATTCATCATGAAATTACATAGTTCTGGATAATCTCCTTTAATTTTTTCTAAATCATCTGTTATATATGATGATTGCTTTTGTGAACGTGAAATAACAGATTTTGTTTTAATTGGATTTTCATCATCAACATGAATAAAACGTCGAATAGGTCTAAATAGGAAATGAATTTCTTTTGGTAGAGAAACTAATTCATTTTTACCCATTAAAATAAACTAATGATGCCATAAATGTTTGACGTTCATGTTCAGTTGATTGAATTAATGAACGTCCTATATCGGGTTCCCATTTATTTTCAGGTGCAACTGTAAAACATTCGGATTGATTAAATTTACTCGATAGAAGTAATCGAAATGCTCGGTTTTTCATATAAACACCTTGGAAAAAAAATTATATAATTATTAGAATTGAATAGAAATTCATCTTACTCATATCACAAAACCATGTTAATTCATTTCCATCAGATTTTTTTACAATAAATTCAATAAGATCTTTCAAAGGAAGTTGTGTATAATCATCAATGCATTGACATTGTTGAAATCGAAATAAATGTGATTCGATAGTTGTAAGAAGGTTTGTCGCAAAACCCGTTGAATCCGGATATGATTGTGTTTGTTGTGTTAGAAATGGTGTAGTAATACGAGCTGCAGTACATTGATGATTAATTATACAGCCATGAATATCTTCTAAGATTAAATTGACAAATTTACCAACAGCAAGATTATCTAAGAATGGATCTTTTGTTTGAAAAATTAAATGACGACTAAATTTTGTAGACGATCTAGAATGAAGCAAAAAACAAATTTCTTCATTGATTATTCGAAATTATCAATTACATACGTTGAATCCAATATGAGTACATCGTTTATAGAATAATTTAAATCATCACTTCGTCTTCGCATAAAATTCAGAACAAACTGGAAGAAATTGGTAGGTTAATTTTTTCCATGAGTTTCAAGTTGAGTAATTATATATTCGCACCTTAATAAAGTTATTCGTTAACTTTGATCCATCGATAGTTGGATTAGCAGCAATATCATATTCAAGATCAAAATAAAGTTTTGATGGTTTTTCTAGAACATAAAATTCATTTTAAATTCTCAACCCACATTTATTTTGTTCTTACTATCAATAATAATTTCATAGATATGACGTTGATTAGCAGGTAACTGACTAAATTATAATAATAAATAAAACAAATTACTGTAAACAAAAAGGCTAATTCAAACTTACTAATATTCATGAAAGAAGATGTCTATATCAGCAACTTGATATCGTCGGTTCCCATCCGGTTGTGATTCGAAACTGAATAAATATAAAATTTCACCCTAATCAAAAGAAAAAAAGAGATTAATTCAAATACATATAAATCTTTCGTTAATATATTAACTAAATTAATATTTGTCTCATTTTTTTGCCGTTCGGAAATATGTGCAAGTGCTTCATCTTGTGTCAAAAATATTTTTGTTGCAGGCGCCATTTTCATCAATGTTAATCGGTTATGATTCAAACGTTTTCTTGTCATACTATCATCAATATCAGCAAGTGGTTGACGTTTTCTATTTTCAAATAAAAGAAAAAAAGTAACATAACATTAAACAATCCTTTTAATTCTTGCTTTGACTGATTGTAAAATGTATTCGAAGCCATATATTTAGGAAAAAAAAGAAATCAATCTGCAATTACACCCATATCAATTAATTATTAAATAGCCTTGAATTTCATATATCGTTTTTTTCAAAGTTTTCTTTTATATATATATACAGATGCCATAACTCATAGCTTAATCTTTTACAGCATATCAAAGGAAAAAGAAAAAGATTCACCACACAAAACATACACTAAACATTAAACAACAAAAAAAAATGAATGTTTTATTAATGCGATGATCATGTTTTTCTATGTGTGTGTGTGTGTGTGTGTGTTTGTTAGGTTGTTGAAAAAAGAGAATAAACAATCAAAGATAAACAAGAGGAAAAAACTATCTATATGATACAGAGCACTGTTTAAGTAATATATGTATGTATAATAATAATAATGAAGAAAAGAGAAAAGAAAAAGAAAAAGAAAACTGTAGTAAGACGATAAGAAAAAAGAAACCAAAAGTTTTTGTTTGATTTTTTTCAAGTTCAAAGAAGAGAAAAAAAAGAACAAAACAAAACACACGTAGAAAAGAAATTATTGGCTTTTTTTTTCCTAAATCATCTTTTATCTCACTTGTACAATTAAATAGAAATGAAGGAGAAAAAAAAACATTGTTCTACTGATAGACGAGATAATTACGAAGTGAATTAGGTAATGTCAATTGATTAATTAAATGTAGATTCGATCGGCCTAATTGTTTACGTATTACTCGTCGACATGAATCCATTAATTGAAGCGGATCAGCTATATTAATTAAAAAAATATATACAAATATAGAATCAGTTTAAAATAACTTACGTTCTAATCCATTTATATAACGCATCGTTATTTCACAATGTCCCCATACAGATGATACCATTGGATAAAGTGCGCCTTTACCTTTAAGATCACTAAATGCTACACCTAAATATTGTCCATCAACGATATAAGCTAATGTTCCTTCTTCAAGATCCAAAACAACAAAAAATTTATCAGGTACAACAAAACATTCATCTGATTTCGATGGATATGAGATGCCATTATTATTAATTGCATCAGCTGGATCAGTGACTACAGATGTTGTAGTTGTCGGAGATATAGAACCAGACGATGGATACTGTGTTGAAGCATAAACACTATTAACACCTTTATGATAAAGTTTATTTCGACCTAAATCCCACCCCCAAGATTCTTGATTCATCCCAACAAGTGCTTGATAGCCTGGACAATGCAAAGGTGCTTTTATTGTACCGACACCTACTACAGCATGTGTTCCACGTTGTCTCGTATTCCTAAATGAATATAAATATATTAAATTTATATATATATGTAATTTCTATGATTTATTGTACCATTCAATTTCCCATACATGAATACCACTTGTGAAACCTTTTTTACAACGAACAGCATCGGTACTTTGTGCAACAGGCTAAAAATAAAATTTAATAAAAAATATATATTTCAATGTTTCGTTTTTATTTACATGTCGATGAAAGGTGCATGGATCATTATGTTTAACAAAAATATTCATGGAGCGATCATCATGATTCCATCCATATTCAATTTGTTTTTCACGTGATACAGGTGGTCGGTCAAGAAGAATATCCAATCGAGCAGGAAAATATTTCGTTGGATCTAATGATGGATGATTTGTAATATTTGAATAATGATATTGACATATTGTAGAATTTAATTCATTGTTATTATTGTTATTATTATTATTTGAAATTGTTGATGAATAAGAAGATGATGACGATGATGATACTGATAATGTGGAATTATTTGTTTGATGATGATGATGACGTGGTAAAGGATTGAATGCAAGTAATGGAAGTGTTGATGTTGTTATTTCTTGGGCTGATTGAGATGTTGAACCTGATATAATTGTACGTAAATTAATTATTTTACCATTACGAAGACCCATCGATGATGATATTGTTGATGGATCTTGTTGTTTTGATATGCGTGAGCGACGATTTGTTTTTGTTATTGTTGTTGTTATTAGATTACTACTTGTCAACGATGCACGTCGTAAACGTGATCGTAATGGATAAGTTTTAGTTACAGGTGTTGTGTCAACAGGAATAGAATTCGAAGATGAAGTTGATGATGAAGAAGAAGTAAGAATTACGGGAGGATTGTAATCACAAGATGAACTGGATGATTGTCTTTTTTTATTGTTTAAACGTCGACTTCGACGTAAGGTTTTCGTATTTGTCAATGGATTGTTTAAATCCACACGCTAAAAATACAAAATAATTCAGTTTAATATTTTTTATTTGATTTTAAATCAATTACTTTAGTTAATTTTTTTCGTTTAGTATGAATTGATTTTTGTTTACTGTTCACTACTGTTGTCTTATGTTTTTTTATTCTTGTATTTAATTCTTGTCGAATTTCAGTTGATTTTGTTTGACGGGGTAACACCATTTGGACAGTAATTGATTCTGATTAAATTGATCAATGACAAGAATTATTTTCTGTTTTTGATGTACTGATAAGGTGGGATTAAATAAATGAATATATGTGTTCATCGACGGTAGAAAATAATCAATGAAGAATGTAAAAGTAATATGATTAGATCAACCATCGAGGGGTACACAAACGACAGCAACAAATATCAAGAGAGGTGATAAACAAACAAAAAATAAGGGTCTAGAAAAACAAAAATAAGAAAATTAATTTATCAGAAAATGATGGAAGAGAAAAACTGATGACAACCAGGTAGATGTTATGTTGAGGTTAACAGTAAGTAAACAATAATATATCAAAAGACAAGACGACAACATTGAGTGCACAGGCGTTGATGTAATGCACGCAATCAATCGCTCGACATTAGTGAGTTAATTACATTGGAGGAAATTTACAAAAAACATAAATTTATTAACTATTCAAAATAGAACGAAATTTCATAATAAAATTCTTAAATTCATATATATTTAACATTCAATCAATGCTTTATAGATGTCATACTAATACAATAAACATCAACTTCTTGTTCTACTCGCGAGTGTACACATATATAATACAAGATCAAAGATAATAACATATTGATACAATCATACATCGATTAGAAACGGAAGACTTTTTACTAAGATGTAAATCTTTAATCTATTTTTTGATAAGAATGAACATAATATTAAAACAAACAAGTTGTCTTTGTCTATTATTCATCAATATATTATGATTCTGAACAAATAATTTTTTTTCAAATGACCTTCCAATGTAACTTCTGTTACGATTAATTGACTGATTCTAAATGCCGTGCTATATTGACTTATATTTTTTAGTTTATTTCCGATATTTTAAAACAGTTTTCGTTCCAAAATTTATGTATTTATTGACTATCTAATTAATGATTATATTTAAATTAAAAAACAAAATAATGTTAGTAAAGAAAAAACAACTAATTACAAAATCATTTCAAAACAAAATACTCAAATATAATTATGATTGTAAAATGTCTAAATGCATTGTGACATTCTTATCAGATTAATGGTTTTTTGTTACATAACTACAGGAAAGAACGAGATTAAATAATTGTATGGAGAAATACAAAAGAATAATGCATGCAATATAATAAAAAAGAAAAGTTTGATATGTAAAAGAAAAATTATCTTCATTCCCATTCAGTTGTGGCTAAAAGACAAAAAAAACAAATTGAATGTTAATTAAAGAAATTTTAGAAATTCTACCTGGTGGTTTCGATGTTAAATCATATAGAATTCGACTTATACCTGGTACATTTGTTAGAATTGTTTCACATATTTCATCTAACATATCAAGAGGAAATGTTTCTCCAGGTACAGCTGGTCTTCCAGTCATAAAATCTTTTGTAAGAAATGTACGTAAAACAATTGAATGTTGACCATCATTCCGTTTTTCATTTTCATCTGCACGATTTTGTCGATCAAATTCAACAGGTATTAATACAACTGGCATTTGACTTATTGAACTATAAGCACCATGATGTTTCATTATAACCATGGCATGATAATCACAAGCACGAGCTTTATCAATAATATCTGGTGTTAACGTTGTACGTGTAATTTGTGTTATTTCTGTATCAAGAATTTTTTTACCCTAAAAATATTGATGTGATACAAAATAAAACGTTAATAGAATAAATTACAAGTATATAAACAACACGATTGATATGATGACATGTTTTCGTAATTAATCGTGCAAGCATAAATAATTCATTCCAATTAGGTTTTTTATCATTTGAACTAATTGCTGCGGCGAAACTATATGTACGAGCATCACCTTGTACACCAACGCTTCGAATCTATAAAAAAAAATGAAATTTGATTTTTTCTCTTATAAAGAAAAAAATTCAAATTAAATTTTACTGGTAATAATACTGATGTATAATCATGTTTATCTAATGATGTAAGATTTTGTAAACGTATTTTTTCATTATCTGTAAAAATATCATTTAATGATGAGATTGAAGAAGATTGTGTTGAATAATTAACAATTGATTTTAATAAATTTGATGTTTGTGCAAATGTTTCATGAGGCATATATGGTTCATCAGTACATAAGATACGTATAGCTAAACCAGGTCCAGGAAATGGATGACGATAGATAACATCTGGATGAAGACCTAATGTTAAACCAATTTGTCTTACTTCATCTTTATGAAAATCTTTTAATGGTTCAATAACACGATTAAGTTTACGTAATTGACGTACCATGGGTGAATCATTATGATGTGTTTTAATAGCATCAGCATGACCACTTTGACTTGCTAAATGTGATGCACTTTCAATTAAATCAGGTCTTAATGTACCTTGTGCTAAAATAATATCATCAAATGTAAAATTATTATCACGTAAAAATTCTTGTACAACTTTTATAAATGTATCACCGATAATTTTACGTTTATGTTCAGGATCAATCTCTTCACTTAATGGTAAAGTTTCTTCAAGTAATATATCAGCATCATATAAACTTAAAAAATTTGTTGAAACCGATGTACGTCGTGGCGGAGCTAAATCTTTTTCATTCGATGTTTGGGTGACTTTTGTTCGGACGTACGTTTTAGCTTGAGCAAAACGTTGACTAGCATCAATATAATTGACAGTTGCAAATTGAGATAAAGTTTCACGTATTTCATTACTTTCATTAAGACGTAAAAATCCATTATCTATACTAACTAATTTGACTTGTTCAGCTGGTAAAGCACGTGTTAAAAGAGCAGCACAAACAGAGCTATCAACACCACCACTGCATAGAACAAAAACTGGTTGATCTTTGACAAATGATCGAATAGTACCGAAAGATTCTTCAACTCGACAGCCCATAGTAAATGTTGCTCGACAATGAGCAATATCAAAGAGAAAATTTTTAAATATTTGTACACCATTATCAGTTAAATCGACCTAAATAATAAATCGAAGAAATGATTATCTTTGTCATCGCTGTTTTTAGTACACTGATATTTTCTATGAGCTTTAATATTGTTTTTTTAGTTTTATTTATTTAAATTTCGTAAAATAATAAGTAATTTGTTATCAATAAAAATAATTAAGATAAAAATCAGGCGTGATATTGAAAAAGTTTCTTAAAGGGTGGGTAAGGGTGATGAATAATACGCCCACACCCTTCAAAAATATAAGTGTTAACTTCAACGAAAAAAACAATATACAGCGTGATGCAAAAGTTATTTCACTGCAACTGAAGCAAACGATGTGACTTTTTTTTATCAATGATACAGACATATTCATGATTTATATCTATAAAACAAGTGTTGAAGTGTTTAAGGGTAGAAATTTGCACTCATACGCCCTTTCCCCTAACAAACGTGATCGACAGGACAGCATAGATCATCATAGCGGTGACGCAAATACGTTCTTTTGACCTAGTCACAGACGTCACCGATAATGCAATACAAAGTATGAGTGACAGATGTTCTTTTGAATTTTATAAGAACTCTTCAAATACTAATCAAGTGAATTTATAATATGTAAATTATTTCTATACGTTCGTGCCACAGGACAAGGTGAAAACTGTTTCATAATGACACTATTAAAATATCTTCTTGAAGGTAAAAACAACAGTTAGATCGTGTTTCACATTTTAATTCCGGCAGGGATTACACTAACAGCTTTCTTCCTATATTTTCAAAACTGAATTTCGTTGAAGTCAACACACAGCATACCGGAGGTATTCGATTTCCTGTACGGTAAAGTGACTTTTGGCTTACTTTGTATTCAAACTGATTATTAAAATAGCATTGATTTAAACACAATCGCAGAGATTTATCAATAAAATGTCATGTACATTCTACACTTTGTTAATCAAAATGATAGCTATCATTTGATTAATATTATACATGATGTGAATAAGTGCGCTAATCTTTTATTCTATTACATGTCCTCAATTTATAATTTATGAATATCTTCTATAAACGGATATATTAAATTCAATATGACAAACTGAAATTACAAACATCAGACATTCTTTTGTCATTCTTCCTAAGAATTTGCAATATAATACAAAACATATCTATTCTATTTACCTCTGGATGAAATTGAACACCATAAATAGGTTTTTCTTTATCAGCACATGCAACAATAAATGAATCACTTGTACCCACACCTATTAAATTTTCTCCAAGTTGTCCAATACTATCTCCATGTGTTAATAAAACATTTTCAATTTTATTCATATTTTTAAACAGAGGACATTCTGTTATATTTAATTCAACTTGAAATTGACCATCTTCACGTACAGATTGTCGTACAATCGTACCACCACGTTGTTTATTTAACATTTGTAATCCATAACAAATACCTAAAATTGGTAGACCACATTCAAATAATTTTGGATCATAATGAACAGGATTTGGATCATTTACTGAGCCGGGACTACCCGATATAATAACTGCTTTATATTGTTGTGAAAGCAAATCATTGACTGATATTTGTAATGGTACAAGTTCAGAATAAACTGAAAGTTCACGTATTCGACGATCGATTACTTTTGCATATTGTGAGCCAGCATCAAGTATAGCCACTTTATCATAATTATCGGAATGATGTTGAAACTCAGTCATAAGCTTTTTTTTTACCGATTGTCTAAAAACATGTGGGAAAATACATGTTTGAAATGTCTGACTATATATTATTTTATTTCAAATGAAAAAAATTTTATCTAAGAAGAGATTCTTCACAATTAAATTAGACAATATCGATATATAAAAAAAGAGAGCAGAACATATAAGATATAGAAGAGAGTAAAGAAAGAATAGACAAAATGTATTGATAATTTTTTGTTTAAAAATCCTAATTTTCGTTGAATAATTTTGCCTTTTTTTCCTACAATTGACAAACGAACAATATAAAATGAATAGAAATGTATGTTTAAAGTTTATAAAAAAAGAGAGAGAGAGAACGAGAAAGAAAGAGAAAAACACACTAACAGTGACAGTTATCACAAAAAAAAACACATAATATCTAACGATTTCATATCATAGGTGCTGGATGTAGATCAAGTGACCATCCTTTTCGTTCTTCTTCTTCAATTGTTTCCCAATTTGGTGAATGAACACCTGGAATTTTATGATTAAAATCTAAAACATTATTCCAATAATCAATAGCCCATGTAAGACCACTTTGAACAATATCTTTTTGTTTAGATTTATATTCAACATTATATGGAGCAAATCGACAATGATGGCAACCTTCAATAATCGGTTGGGCAGTTATATGAACATAGAAATCACATTCATCACTTGTATGTATATTTAATTGTTGACAAGCTAAAGCAAATTCACATTGATGACATTCATCAATATTAACTGATCTTGAACAAGGGCCAACAATTATTATACAACCATGAAGATTTTTTATTTGTAATGTTGATGGAATACCTTTGAGAAATATTTCACAATGTTCGAGATTTTCAATAGCAACATCTTTTCCATTAACTTCATCTGATTCAAAATGAATAAATTCATCATGTTTATTAATAACATTCACTGTATTTAATGACTTAGAATTTGATTCTTCATTGGTTAAATGTTTATTGACTAAATCTTCAATATGCTTATTTACTAAACGAAGTTTATGTCCATCTTGTTTGATTTCAACATTTGATTCTAGTTCATCATTTGATTCCATGCTTTCAAGAAGTAACAAAACTGTAAAAGTAAAAGAAAACTATACTTTTACTTCAATAAAACAACCTTTATAAATATTAGCAATGTTTAAGGTTTCTGAAATAGTAAATAGTGGGTGTATCATTTTTTCATCGTCTACACGTTAGAGAGGGTGTTGAGTAGGGTATTCATTGTACAAAACTGTCTGATGTCCTTGAATGATTAAATGATTGGTAATAGGGGAAGAAAAAAAAAAGTAATTATTGACTCATGATGTGTTTTTTGAAAGACCTTTGCAGTGGCAAATATTTCATTGGTTAAGAAAATCAACCAATTAATTTATTGAAAAATGATTACGAATGATTGTTTATTATTTCCTACTTCCGAATAATATAATTTCATTTTCGCGGAAAAATATTTCTTTTCATTACACTAACTTTTCAAGAAAAATTCAAATTTTTTTTTGAATTACGTCAAAAATTTAAATTTTAAAATCATTGAATTTTCCATGAAATGAAATATAACTTAATTTATAAGATAAATGAAAATAATTTCTAAATCAAGATTATATTGAACTAAAACAAAAAAAACTATCGATCGATAGTTTCTAGCGGCATCATACACGAGACATCTATGTATCCATGATAGTTTCCAGAAATTAGCAATAGCAAATGAAATTGGTATGAAAAGCAATGATTAGTCATTGACACAAAAAAAAGAAGTAAGCGTAAAAATGTTGTTACATTCATTCACAACTGCACGCAAGAATATATAAAAAAAGATAGAACTATGCTGCAGACAATCCCCATTGATCAAGTAAAAGAAGCACTTGATCAATTTAGTAAAGTATAACTTGAATAAATTATGTATTTCGAAATTCTAAATCTATAATTTATCAAAAGGGTCAAAAATATTTGTATAATACTTTAACAACAACTATCAAAGAAAATCAGACAAATGTAAATTAAATAAATTTATAATTTAAAAATCCTCTATGCTTCATTATTTAGGAAATATGGTTTATTCATTTATTAGATGAATTACGTGATAATGTGGATCTATTTGAAAATATTAATGAACAATTTTTGGATTTTTTACAAGTTAGATTTCTTATAGTAATTATTTATTTTTAAATTTCGTATTTAGTTACAAATTGATTGGACAAGACAATCAAAAACTGTACTTGATACATTTCGAGCATTTCAAATTAATCTTATATCATGCAATACGAAACATGCACAACGTTATTTAAGTTTTTTATTTACTATTTTTACAATATCAGGTAAATAATTTAATAATTCTCGTTTCTAATACTATGAATTTCTTTTAGAACCTTCTACAAATCATCTTCCAGTACATGATTTCGCACATGAAACATTACAACAACTTGTTCTTATTGTTCCATTGTATGTTGTATTAGTATAAAAGAAAATTTTCAAAAGATTTCTTGTTTTTTTCTTCTAGAGCTTCAACACTTTTATGTCCAATAGCTGAACAACACTTTCCATTTATGACAAAAGAAATTAATTTACAAATATCATATGTAAAAAATCTACTTCGATCTTTATCTTATTTATCTATTCAACGTTTACGTTTTCTTGAAATTATACTTTCAAAACTACTTCGTCTTGATGTAATTTTCCCAACAACATATTTTTTGACAATTTAAATTTTTTTTTATTTTCTCAAGGTACATGCATCTCGACAAGATATTATTCGTGAAGAAAAATCAAGTATTGAAAGTGAACTTGTTTTTTCACTTGAACAACTTGATACAAATGATAATAATACAAATGGAATGAAACATGATCAAGCTGATAAACTTGATTGCCTTATGTTTGTTATGTTTGAATATATAAATAGTATATGTATTGAAAATGGTAAAAAAATTTGACTTTATTTTTATTCTAATCTAAATAATGATTATATATAGGAACAGTGAATTATGAACAAACAAAATCTTTATTTCGTGATTTATTAAATATATTTAATAAAATTTTATTACCAACACATGATTCATCTCATGTACAATTTCTTCTTTTTTATATTTGTAGTTTTCATACGGTAAATAAATTTATAAAAGAAATATTTTTATAAAATTTTTTTTGTTTTATTATAAATAGGATTTTAGTGATGAATTTATGAATAATTGTTGGAAAACATTTGTATCACCATCAGTATCGATGACATTTCGTCAATCATCAATTTGTTATTTGTGTAGTTTAATAGCTCGTGCAAAATATATAACAATTAGGTAAATATTTAATTTAATATTATTATATTACATAAAAACAAGAAATCTCTAATTTAGATCTGTATTAAATATAACACAATTAATGGTTGATTGGTTACATGCTTATGTTAGTACAACTGAAACAAATAGTGGAAATGCAAATCCAAATCGTCATCTACCATTCTATGCTATTTGTCAAGCTGTTCTCTATATATTTATATATCGACATCAAGAAATAGCTCGATTACCTGATGGTAAGAAGATATTTTTATTTTGAATTAGAAATTGTTTATGAATGATTCAATTCTGTAGTAGGTGGAAATTTTTAAAAAGTCATATTTTTTTCTAAAAGAGTCATTACTTGATGATTAATCGATCGATGCTTTTTTTAAAATATCAATCAATAAAGTAAAATTAATAATTCTTACGCAATTAACAGAGTTATTGAGAAATCGATGTGAATCATAGGGAGAGTGTATGTTTGATAATTATGTCTTTACAAATGTAAAGAATGATTCATATCGGATTAGTTTGAAATAAAATTCTGTCGGCTCTAATCATCATAATTGATTTTTTCTCTAGGTATTGAAATTACATTGCAATGGAGAATTGGACGTATAATATCTTCGGAATTAAATCCACTTAAATATTGTTTACCAGCTATTACTCTTCGATTTGCTCAGTTAGCAAGGTAATATAAATAATTAGAGAAATTTCTTGTTTAATTATTTATGTATATATAGAAATTATCAAATTGTTTTTTGTTATTCTATTATTGAAACAAATAATCGTTATTCATTACCAGAAACATTTTCAACAAATGATTATCATAACGTTAATTTACCATCAAATATTCTTTATTCATATTTTCCATTCGATCCATATGTATTGAAACGATCATTAATATTCATTCAACCAATTTATAATGATTATCGAGATGAAAATGATGACTCAAATATTGGCAAAGATTCTGATGATAATGATGTAAGAGAGTTCTATCATAAGTCTTTTTTCAAAAGACACATGTAATTTTTATTTAGCGTCAAGAAATTGATGATTCCGAGGATGTTTTAACATCAATGATGATGAGTACAACACCTGGCAGTTCTGATTCACTTGATCATTTACCGATAACAACAATGTCAACATCATTTAAAAATTCTCGAAATCCTCCGTCAGTTTTACCATTTGGCCGTTCACCTGGTTTTCGAAATGCAATAAACTAAAAATGTTCATGTTTTGTTTCTTTCGTTTCTCAGCCTAGTCATTCATTCCATATATGTTTACTCATAATATTACTTTAACGGAATGTTGTTCTCTATCTCTCATTATTGTATGAAAAAAAAAGATAATCGGAGAGATATTGTTAGACTTTTTTTTTTTAAATAAAGAAAAGAAGAAAACGAATGAATAGAACATTCACAACTATAGAAAAATAATAATTCATACATACAACATATAAAAAATGATCAACCGAATGAACGGATTTATCATGCAGGAAAAAGAAAATGATGAGAAAAATTTTGTTTTTTTTTGTTTCTATATTTTTAAGGAGAGAAAATAAACCGAACGAATGAACAATAATTACGGGAACGAAAAAGAAGCACCAGAGAGAATGTATAAATAAACAAGACTGAAATCGAATAAGTAAAAAATAAGCATGCAAATAATATCAGTTTTTTTAATCAGAATATTTTTCTATTTGATTTATTTAAATGTTGCTGATGAAGTACGTAACTCCGAAACGATCTATAAAAGTAAGATGAAATTTTATTTCGATTAAATTTAAATACTTTACGTTTTCATAAAATTGTATTTGTTCATCAACAAGTGTTTTCAAATAGTTATTAAGATCATTAACTTTTTCGTTTTGAAAATAATTTATTTCAGCTAATACAACATGATTGAGAACAAGATTACGATGAAGAGCATTTGCAAGATCAGTTTGTCCACGTTGTTGAACCGTTCTCATAAATTCTGTTGCACTCTATATTTACATATATACATATAGAATAATTAATAAAATATTTGACTTACTCGTTGAATACTTAATATCGATGGAAAACAAGCAAGAAGTCCTATGTATTCTTGAATGCGTTCGTTAAAATCTCGAAGACCTTTAATTCCCTAAATAAAAAATATTTTGAGTAAATAAATTTTAGAAAATCTTAAAATTTGTATTTATATCTGAATTTAAGCTTTTGAATTAAGTATGCACCAGTGCCAGTTTAGAATTAGAGACGAGATATCACAGTCAGACTGGCACTAGTGCATATCTATCGCGTAAGTATTAATCAAATTTCTGGACAACAGACCAGTAGCGTAGCCAGAAACTTTTCAAGGGGACTTGCACACCAGCAGAAAAAATGTCTGCCCTACCAATAGTTTTGCTAAATCTGTATCCCCTCCATATATTTTTTCTCCAAGGAGTGTGCCCGAGCACCTTTTGTACACGCCCTGGGTACGCCCCTGCAACAGACATACTTGCCATTCTTTAAACATTTATGATGAGAGACGTTTGTTCAAGTCTCCATTCATCTAATGTTAAAATATAATAACTGCATGTAGTGTCTTGTATAGTCATTTGGTTATTCTTATGTATTCAATATTATCTATGTCTTACTTTCGCTCCATATAATGCAGCTATGTCATTATATGATGTACTAATTGCTTGTATTGAATGTGAAAGATCTTTATTACCTAAAAATAAGACGTTTTTTTTATAATAAGACAAAAATCCGAACACTTTGATTTTACCAGGGGTTTTAGTATCGAGTTGAACAGCTTGATGAACTTTAGAATATAGCTCACCAATTCGTTGAATATCACGTTCATACACTTCAGTATGTCTTTCAACATATTTTGTTAAACCTTGACTAAGATTTTTCAATTGTGATTCAAGACCTGGCTGTTGTTGGGAAAATGTATCAATTTGTGATACACTAAATAAAATAAAAGCAAATATATTTCTATAGAAAATTATTATTCGAATTATATACATATTTGAATCAGATAATCCTGTATTTTTTAAACTAACACATTGAAGCCATGATGCTTCACGAAAATCATCTTTTTCAATTCTTCGTTTTCCTGCTTTCCAATCCTAAAATAAATTAATTTTAATTCTATTTAGTAATCAATTTTATTTTTACTTTGTTATGCTTTTCAGTAAGTTCACATGTAACAAAATGTTGAACAGAAAATGATGCACAAAGGACTGGATGACGACAAATACGATTAAGCCATAATTCAAGTTGTCGTCGACGTTCTTCAATAAATTCTTGTTCAAATCGTCCTAAATAAAATATTATTAACTATATATCTCTTTTCTTTTTATAATTTATATCTTACCAGCTATTTGTTTACCAGGCAATGGTGGAATACAAATAAAACGAAATTTATTAACAAGTTGTTCATGTAACCAATCAAATTGTTTGTAACGTCTGCCAACAATTCGACTTCCAGGAGTCTAAATAAGACAAATATGTCTTGTTCGATATTTAAACTAAATAATTTACCTGTGCTTGTATTTTATATTCCATAAACGCTTTCAACCCACCTAATTTTGTTCCTTTTGATGGTTCTTCAATTTTACAAGTAAATGGTGGTATAGTAATATTCGGTGCCCAACAAACTCCACCTTCCCGGTCATCAAACTATATATTCAAAATAATAAATATTAAATAGAATAAAATAATTCTTACAGTTATTTCAACATGTTCATCAGATGATTTTCCTTTCGTACCATTCAATAAATAACTATCTAAACCATGTTTATCAAAAAATCTATAGAAAATATAAATTTGTTTTTTGAATTTACTATTAGAAATTATTTACCGTGCTCGTGGAGGAGCTTTAGTATTTTCAAAACCAGCAAGTGATGTTCTACTTTCTTGCGGTGCTCCTGAATTGCTTTTTAACTAAAAAAATGGAAGTATGATTAATCTATAATATTGACAAAATTATTCATCATTGTCAACACAAGCAAACAATAGAAAAGTGCATGCAATACTTGACACAAAAAAAAGACAAAAGGGAAAATCTATATTCTCAACTAACCGTCGTTGTCATATTAACTGTTTGAAGTTTTGCCGGCTGAAATATTATGAGCAGTTATTACGTATTAAGCTATAAATTTTGAGTATTTATTGAAATAAAGAAAACTCAATACTTACAGTTGGTGCATTTTGATTATTCGATGAATGTGGAGGATATTCTGAATCACTAAAACTATCATCAGAATCCGTATCTCTTTTTCCTGCTTGACCAGTTGTCTAAAGAGAAAAAAATATATATATTAAAAATCAAATTATGTTCTAAATAATTCAATGAGCAATAAATAATCAATAGCAAATATATATATAAATACGAATTACAATGATTTTAATTGAATTATGAGCTTAAAACTTGATAGTTGAGCGCAATGATTTCTATGCGTTTATTGCTGACCTCTCCCGGATTTATATTCTTTGATTTTCGTGATAAAGTTAAAAATCCAGCAAAGTTTCGTTTTTTTTTCTTTTTCAATGCAGCAATTGTACTTTCAGGCATTGATGTAGCAATGTGTAACTTCGTCGAAGTTGGATCATAACTATTTATAAGTGATAATGGTTCAGCAGATACGGACGGAGTTATTGTATTTGTAGTATCAGTACGATTTAAACGTGATAGATCATTATCTATCGAAATATATGCTGGTGTTTGTTGTTGAATAGATGTTGGAATTAAATAATCATCAAAAGGTGTTGTCTGTTGCTGAATTGTTGAAGTTTTTGGGAAATCAAATGAAAATTTGTGATCGAAATTTGTATTTGATAACATAGATCCCGGTGTTTTTGGAATAATCTCATACAATTCTTCAGATTGATCACTCGCTGAATTTCTCTTATATAAAGAATTTGAATTCGTATTTGGAATCAAACCTGGAGTGGATTCTATATCTACTATTGTTATATATCCATCATGTGAATTATCTGATATAGTTCTAGTATTAGTTGAATTTATCTTTATTTCCATAGGAAATATTAATGGTTGAATAGATTTAGTTAATTTCTCTTCATTTAACTGCTATGAAACCAGTGAGGAAGAATAATTTTCAAAAAACAAAATTTATAAAAGAACTTTAAAGAATAATTCTTGATCTTACATAGGATGGCGATGATGGTGCTTGCCATGCTGGTTGTTCTGGTGCTTGCCAATTGTTATATGTATTGGGATTCATATATTGATGTTGATCATATGGTGGTGGAAAACTTGATTTCGCTACGTTATTATTGCTGTTGAATACATCAAGAGTTGGATAATTATTATTTGAATTTGCGAATGTTGACATTGGCGGTGGTGGTGGTGGTGGTTCATTTGGTTCTGGTGGATCAGCTAAAGCTTGAACATAATTTTCTGGAATAACACCAACTTGTCCAGAAGAACTTTTTGCATACCTATTTAATAAAACTTAATTTAATGGTAAAATCATGATAGAATATATTTACCACCATCCATGTCCAGCTGTACTCGATGTTATTGTAAGAATATCATTTGCATTGAAACTTAGTTCATTTGGACCTTCAGCAACGAAATCGTAAAGTGCACGCGCTTTGAATTCACTATTAGACATTTTCTCACGTATACAAAATATACATTTAATCTAAGTCAATAGCAATCTGAATTGAGGACGTAAATGAGAAAAATAATCGAATCGAACGAGGAAGAAAGGTAGGCAATTGTTAGTAAGAGAGGAAAAAATAAAAAGAGAAAAAAAAGAACGTTAGAATGAATCAGTAGGAAAAATGTAGTTTTTTATTTGTTGATTTAATAGCCAATCAATATAAAGATAAGACAAACAATGAATAACTGTAATTGATAGGAGCTGTTGCTGTTTATCGATAATAAAATATTTTTGGAATTGTTTCTTTAATTGAATTTCATCATTCAAACTAATAATGATGGCTAAATCGAATGGTACAGAAGCTCGTGTACAAGTTGCTGTTCGAACTAGACCATTGAATCAACGAGAAGTAAAA